AAAAAAAAAAAAAAAAAAAAAAACAGGCCGTAATGAGGCACGCGCACGTGCATGTTTGGTCTTGTTTACGCGCGTCAAACGCGTCGCGTCGCGTCCAAAGTACACCAAGACGCCCGCCTACTGCTTACCACCACTATCGTACCTGCTATACACCCTTAAACCTATCTCGCTATGGCAAAACGCAGGGCCGTCGCAGATTCTGACGACGAGAATGCCTCCCAGCCCGCCTCGAAGCGCTCCCGGACGACAGAGAGCGACGAGGAGGAGGAGCCGCACGCACCCCGCGCCACAAAGGGTAAAAAAGCCACGGCCAACGAGGCCATGGAGCTTGACGAGGACGACGAGGCCGGCGTTGCGGAGATCCAGCCCGATGATGCTGCAGAGAAGAAGTTTGAGGAGGAGAATGAGGAGCTCATCCGGGAGAGGCTTATGAGCAAGAGCAAGACCCAGGGCGTGAGTACTGTGCAGTGCGGTCGTGATGCGTACCTGCGCGCAGGACTAATGGGCTGGTACTGATGTGCGTTGTGGGTAATATAGGGCGTCGCGGAGATGGGCATTATCGAGTCCATTGAGATGGCTCAGTTCATGTGCCACAAGTACTTGACTTTCTCGCTGGGGCCACAGATCAATTTCATCATCGGTATGTGCTCCTCTGTCATCTCGATAGGAAACATAACTAAGCGCGTATATACAGGACATAACGGAAGTGCGTAGACGTGCTGATATCCTGACGTCCCTGTGTCCATCGCTCACTGTGTTGCAGGTGGTAAGAGTGCAGCCCTCTCCGCTCTTACAGTTGCTCTCGGCGGCAAGGCGACGACCACCGGCCGCGGCAGCGGACTCAAGTCGTTCATCCGCGAGGGGCAGTCGTAAGTCCCCGTCCAGGTCTGACAGGGACTTCTTGCTCACTAGCCCCTATCAGTGTCGCCGAAGTCACGGTGGTGCTCAAGAACCAGGGCGAGGAAGCATACCGGCCCAAGGACTACGGCAGGAGCATTGTGATCACACGTCGATTCACCAAGGAGGGCGCGTCCTCATACAAGATCAAGAGCAGGGATGGCAAGGTCGTCTCGACAAAACGCGAGGAACTTCAGGCTATCTGCGACCATATGAACATCCAGGTTGACAACCCTATGAACATCTTGACCCAAGGTACGTGTCTGAATGTAGAGGCTGTTGACCGCGTTCACTGAGCACTTCCTTTAGACTCCGCCAGGTATATGAGCCGCACTGTTAACCTCCTTTTTCCTCGCTGACCAGTATATGCAGGCAGTTCTTGAGCGCATCGACCCCGGCGGACAAGTACAAGGTACAGTCGTCGTATACAACTCTCTGCCCAGGCCCTAACACCCGGCGCAGTTTTTCTTGAAGGGCACTCAGCTCAGCCAGCTCAGCGAAGAGTATCAGACCTGTATGGAGAACATCAGCCAAACGCACAAAGTCCTGGAGCGCAAGGCTGAGGTTATCCCTGACCTCGAAGAGTCTGTCGTCGAGGCTCGTTCGCGCTGGCAGGAGGCGCAGAAGGCGGTTGCGCAGAAGACCAAGGCCGACGAGCTCAAGAAGGAGCTGGCCTGGGCGCACGTCGACAGCAAGAAAGAGGTTTGAATCCCTACTGGCCCCATTCACAACGCCTTCTAATACCGGGCATATGTTCATAGGAGCTGACGAAGCAGCTGAACGAGGTCGCTCACATCCAGCACAGAGTTGATAAATGCGATGGACAGATCCGACAGGCCGAGGTAGGCTGCTCACTTCTCCTACGAGATTCGGTTCTGACATGTTAGCATAGGCCGAGCGTGCGACGTGCGATATGAACGTCGAAGCCCTAGAAGACGAGATTAATTCCCTTGGCGACGTCGATAGCCTGAATAAGAGGAAGGAGGAATTGGGCGTGCTGATCAAAGCGAACAAGGCGAAGCTCAACGCGTTCAAGGTACGTTGTATACCCCGCAGTGAACGTGAATATCCCATCTCACACTATATCGCAGAACGACGAGCGGACGATTCTGGAGTCCAAGGCAGGCGTCGACGCGACCATAGCCGAGCTCGAGAGGAAGATCCAGGACGAGCAGACGCGCCTGGAGACCCACTCGAAGGAGAAGCGCGAGCGCGCGCAGCACAAGCTCGCAGAGGCCAACGCGTCCCTCGCAGAGAAGGAACAGCAGCTCAAAGGTATCACGGAGGAACGCAAGCGCCTCGAGGCCGAAGCTGAATCTGCGCAGTCCGAAGGCCAGCGGCTGCAGAGTGAGCAGGACGAGCTGCGCAACCGCGTCGGCGAGTGCGAACAGCAGATCCGGCGATGCGGCGAGATGGAGAAGAGCAAGCTCGCGCAGTTCGGCAGCAAGATGGACTGGGTCCTCGCGGAGATACAGAGGAGGAACTGGTACGGCCAGCCGCCCGTCGGTCCCTTCGGCCTCTACGTGAAGGTTAAGGATGCGGAGAAGTGGGGCCCTCTTCTCCGGGTCGTCATCGGCGGTGCGATGAGCAACTTCGCCATCACGGACGCGCGCGATCGCCCTGCGCTAGCCGATATCCTCAATAACAGCGGGAAGTAAGTTGACTGCGTTTATTCGTGCTTCGCTCTCCCAGCTGATTCGCCACTGCAGCAAACATTGTCAGATCATCATCTCTGAGGTTGATCTCTTCGATTTCAGCTCGGGCGAGCCTCCGCAACATTGCCTCACCGTCCTTCGCGTCCTTGAGGTAGGTTACCGACGCCGATATCGACCCCTCCCAAGCTGACACTCCGTAGGTGACGGACGAGTATGTCCTGCGTCGGCTTGTCGACAGCCAGCACATCGAGAGCACGTTGCTAGCAGCGACCCGTGCTGAAGCCGATCAGATGCTCATGTCCCTCGGGTCGGGCGGTGTGGCCTTCGCCGCAGACTTGTACAGGGTCGTCCGGTTCCCGTGAGTTGGCTTTACATGCCGCAAAACTCGCAGTCATTCTGAACGCGTCGCCCGTGCTTAGTGAGGGTGGAGGACAGTCTTCCGTCATCAATCAGCTCAGGAACAACGATCCCAAGCAACATCTTTTCCGCAACACTAACGCAGAGGCCGAGAAGAGGTGGGTGCCCTCGTGTCCGGTGGGCGGCCAGGCAAACTGACGTGCTCGTATAGGCGATGGGAAGGACAGCGCGATGAATTCAAGGGCCGACTGTCAGGCCTGTCTCAGCGGATCCTTGAGCTGCAGGGTACGCACAAGCGCTGCAAGAAGGCCGCTAGCGACCTACAGGTGCGTTCATTCTCTCGTCGGGGAACGTACGTTGCGAGCCGTCCACTCACATTCCGTAGATCCAGGAAGGCCCGCTCAACAGGGCCATCCGCGGCATCAAGGCAGAGATGAACAACCTCCAGCTCGAGCTCAACGAGGAGCTGCCCGTCAACATACAGGCGCTTCAGGAGGCTCTGGAGGTATGTCGTTGACGTCGCTAGCCCCTGACCCGATGTGAACGTCCTTTGCAGGAGCAACAAATCGAGAAGGCCTCGGTCATGGGCCAGTTCGAGCAGCTGGTCAAGGAAAGGGAGAAGGTCCAGCAGGACCAACGACCTCTCGTGGCCGAGTCAGAGCGGTTGCGCACCCAGCTTTCGGAGTTCAGCGAGAAGCGTTCCAACATCTCTGTGAGTATGCATGATTCTCCAGAACGTACCCCCCTAACCAGTGAAACAGGAACGTCTCAACGCAGCGGTGACTGAACGGATGCAGGCGGACAACTCGATCAAGCATTTCACTGCCAAGGCTGACGCCGAGCGCGAGAAGTTGGCGGCCGCGCAGGAGGTGGCCCATACGCTCGAGGAGGAGTACCAGGTGAGCGCTCATCTAAATCCCTAGCGAGTTTCGGCTAATCTTTTGTAGGCGTGGTCAGCGAAGGCGTCCAAGTACTGCGACCCCGTTCCCAATCCTCGCAAGGTAGACGCTGTACAGCGTAATCTCGAAGCCGTGCAAGCAGCACTAGCCGAGCGCGAGAGACGGTACCGTCCGATACTGCTCACGGGAGAGCAACGCGCTGACCATTATATACAGGCAAGGCGCGACGATCGAGGAGATCGCGGATGATCTACACAAGAAAGAGGCTGCTTTGGACACGGCGAAGATGGAACTCAAGGCCTTGAATTCTCTCAACAATGTCAGTAGCACCCCGCAGTCCGAAGACACGTAGCTGACCGTAGCATTTCACAGGCTTTGAAGCGGTCTGTCAAGCAACGTCTTGCCAGGTGGCACGAATTCCGCCGGCACATCGCGCTCCGCTGCAAGGTCTACTTTGCGTACCATCTGTCTAACCGTGGTTACTTCGGCAAGGTCCTGTTCGACCACGTCAGCGGTACTCTGAACCTAAAGGCGCGTTATTTAACCCCACGACGCGCGCATACGCTGACCCTATCTCATCAGGTCCAAACCGATGATCAAGCTGCCACTCAGACCCAGGTTCGCGAGAAGGATCCCCGGTCTCTGAGCGGTGGCGAGAAGTCGTTCTCGACTATATGTCTTCTGCTGTCGCTGTGGGAGTCCATCGGGTGTCCCATCCGTTGTTTGGGTACGTTATTTCCGCACCTGATGTAAAGTTCACATTCTGACTCAAAGCAGACGAGTTTGACGTCTTCATGGACGCGGTCAACCGTCGTATCAGTATGAAGATGATGGTGCGCAGAGTCCCCTTTCCCCCGTCCCCGGCCCTGCCGGCTGACTCCGCCTGTAGATTGACACCGCAAACGCGTCCAAGGGCAAGCAGTACGTCCTCATCACGCCCCAGGACATGAACAACATCAACCCCGGCAGCACCGTCCGCGTGCATCGCATGTCCGATCCCGAACGTGGGCAAGGCACGCTAGCGTTCAATTAGTCGTACCGGCGATTCCTCAGTTTCCTCGTCGTGGCCACGACGAACTCCCGGCGGCATGTTGCAAGCTTCTGTGGTGGTACGTTGGCTCACTCGTTATGATAGTAATAGGCACCTAGTTAGCTACAGTACATTACCGCATGCAATTATGTCTATTTTCTCGACGTTGGCAGATAGCTTCGCCGCCGCACAGAATGTTCATGACTCGCACTATCACTTTGACACATCGAGGTCGACCTGCAATGCGGCAGCAAGAACGGCATCGGTGCTTGATTGCTACTAACGGTGAACTACCAGCGGTAACACAGTGTCGACTCAAATATCCTTCTACTCTGTTCCTGGTCTCGCATTGCATCCCGGTGGATTAATTACATACAAAACGCGAAGCCTCCGAAAAAGCCAAGAAATACATCGTTACAATCCACATACTCCGTGCACCCTCACTCTTGAAGCCACTTGTTACCCTCGCGTGGCGGTGAGATCGTCCTGTTGCAAAAACCACGCGTTCTCGGGACCGTCTTGTCCTGAAAACATATAAATGGCTATATAAATCGGGCCCCATCAGCGAAGACATACCTTGACGAAAGCAGGTGGGGCAGACAATGCCCGATTCCAACAGACGACCGCGGCCGGTGCTATCAGGCTCCCACACCCACTTGGGGTGCCTGTCCTTGTACCATACAGGCTCTTCTCCAAAAAGATCGACGAGGAAGCGATACTGAGCCTCGGTAGGACGACAACCATTGAGATAGGTATGATGCGTCGCAGAAATGGCCACGATATTCGTCCTCGTATCCTCGCGAGAGAGGAGCTTGCGGGAGTCGTTGTGGTAAACCTCCGGCACCTCGAGGTCGGATATAACCCAGATGTGTGGATATTGAAGTACACGTCTCCACAGATGGCTTTGCACCTGAAGGGGATTTGCCAGCGGCAGCCTGCCCACCAAACCCGTCTTCCGGGCGATGACACGGAGTCGAGCCCATACCTTCGAATTATCGGGCCAACCAAGGAAATAGTGGCACCAGCTCTCCTCCACATCGTCCGGCAGAGGAGGATACTCTGCGCGCGTTGTGGGCTCCAGAAAGGGACCGGGACGTGGGTTGACTGGCGGAAGAGGAACCTAGATTGATCCATCGGTGAATATCGGTGAGATATTGCGTTCCATACCACGGGCACGTACCTCGACGTCATTCAAGTCTGCGGAGCCCACTGGCTCGCTTTGGGGACTAGGAGCAATGTCCGCGCTCGACATAGCGGACTCGGCTGACATCTATGCTATATAACAAAGTAAGAAAGGAGTAAGCCAATGCAATGACACGATACCGAGTGGAAAAATACTGCACATATGTGGCTGCTGCTTTCGGTGAGGGTGAAAGCGGTCGGCTCTGGTCACCGTCGGCGATGATGCTCGGAGCGAATGTGTACAGTACGTAGACTTACAACTGGGGGACGCATGCTGCATGTGGCCGTTGTCAGTACGTACACATACACGCCTTCCGCGTCAGTGAGCCTGGGCCATCCTCGAGGACGGACTTGAGTGCAATGGGCGCTAAATGTTCAGAGTTTTAAACACGCACCGACTGCTAAGCGCCGGCGCCACAATATTCAATGCAGGACGAGCTCACCTCATTCCTGCTTCGTCGATACCAACACCTCAATCGTGGCACTTAGTTGAACGATCGCTTGCGATTCGTCCAAAAATGGCTACAGAAAGCACCACGAAGGTACCCGGCTGGTTGAGGACTCATCCCCAGCTTCAAAAGCGAGGCATCGTCACTCTTGGGGACTGTCTTCAGCCCGTATGTGCGCTTTTTGCGAGATGCCACAAATGGTCGAACGCGTCGAGCTGATCCCGCTCGCTTTTCTGCCTAGGGTGCTGTTTGGCGCACTAACGTCATGGAACCGCCTATCTGGGTTGTCAAGATTGTCGAACCAGGAAATCAGGAGGCCGTAATCTACCAGCGACTGCAGCGCAGCCCTTGTCGCCGGAACCACACCGTACCATGCGATATCATCGACTCCGAGGGACAGAAAACAATCCTCCTCATGCCACAAGTGCGAAGCCTCGCCGCAGCAAGACTCTCCCGATGGCCTCTGTCTAAGGTTATGGACGTCTTCCTCCAGGTTGTCGAGGTTCGTGTGCTCATACTGCCAAACTAATCACATTCGTCAGATATACTAATCTCTGTCTCTAGGGTGTCGAGTACTTGCACGAGCAAAGGATCGCACATATGGTACCCGCACTCTACCGTGGTACTGCTAAAGCGTGAAGTTGACCATTCTTAGGATATCTGCGACGGCAATACGCGTATGGCGACTGATTGGGAAGTCAAAATGGATAGGCGGTTAGCTGCAGAGCGAGCCTACATAATCGATTTCGGGACATCTCGACAACTCAGTCTGGGCCCGGGCGTTCAAACTGCCATGCCCCTGTTGTACGCTCAAGTCCCGCGACCTCGGGACATGGATTACTTCGATCCGTACTCTTGGGACGTTTATTGCCTCGGTAAACTGCTAGAAAACATGGCGCAGGTGAGCGGGAACATGACTGTCATCGAAAAGTACGTTGACTCCAGCTATCGTGAAGTTCGTCTACAGGGATTCCATGTCACCTCCGTGGATTATCCGTGGTGTCACCAAGTGGTTGGTGGGAGAGGAGCGGGGCTGCAGACAGGTCTGCCATTGTCGGCCGACGGCCCGCAGGGCGCGTCAAGTACTTACCGTTCTGTGTTGGGCAGTTCGTGCGTCCGACTGGTTTACAGGTGTGGTCACACGTGCTGGCAACATCTTTCTTCGTTCGTCAACCTAAGAAACAATCCGCCGCTCTATCACATACCCAGAGTCCCATATTTACTAGGAAAGTTAGATCACGCCCATGGATTTCGGTAATAGCCGTTGGAATCGATGCATTATGGATGCGGGATGGAAATACAGCGCTTAGAGTATGGTGGGCTCTGATGGTGTAGTGCGTGTTCCTCTTAGTTCACTGATCTTCGATACTAGCAGATAGATGACTGCTCACCAGCGTTTATGTTGGCACCTGGCCTCACCGTCACGCTCATAGTACTTGATCCAGCTGTCTCGCGCAGATATTCCAGGCCCTTCAGAAACGCCTTTCGGTTGCACTCGGGGTCTCCAAGCTCCGACTCGAGCCAGAGCGTGACTTCCACGCCCGGGCTCGGCGCGAGGTCCTCCAGTATAAGCAAGTAGCCCATGCGTGCCGGATCTGATTTCGTTGCTTTCGTCCCGCCCGTCCTCCGGACGTCCAGAGTGACTCCGGCAGCAGCATACGGGACCGCCTCTATCCATGCCGCGTAGGACTGCCGGAAGAACGACTGCTTGAAGGACGGGACCGCAAGTTCGATGCACTTCAAGGCACCGGCGGTCTCGGTGCGCGCAGGCATAACGCTACGGGGATAATGGTAATCAGCCATGGAGCACGACACCTATCACAACCATGACGACTCACTGATCGCTCTACTGAGTCTTGGGTAGGCACTCCGCTCCGTTGTGTTGAGCAGGCGACGCGAGGCGAGATTGCGAACGGAGGACGTCTCGGGAGGACGCGTTTCTACCAGCGGACGCCATGAGAGGGTATCTGCTTATATCTGATTGCAGGTCTCAGCCCCAAGGATGATCAACACTGACGAGGTGTCCGACTCAGTAGCAATGGTCAATCGATGAGCGGAATACCGCTACTAAGTCTAGTGGCACTCTGTGGCGTTTCGAGCAGAACTCGTCGCGGGTACACGATGCCCTGCGACCGGCGCTGTAGGCCACGTGCCACATATCGGTCTAGACTCGATTCGCGGGCGAAGGTCGCGCTTCCAGAAAGGTGCAAGCTGTCGGTCTTCCGGATGAGACACAGAACTCGAAATGAGTTTTAAGTGCGTCTGCGCTGTGATATAATACACTGTGGGAGATAAAGAGATGATATCCAAAACGACGAGTCCGTGAGCGAGCTTCCCCTTTACATCTTGCTCTTGAACTGGTCCTCCGTCACGCCCTTGCCCATGGCCGCGGTCGAGGACACGCCGCCAGTGACAGTCTTCATGAGGTTGTCCATGTAGTCCGCGCCACTCCACTGTGCACAGAGATATGATATGAGCAACTAGCTAGCATCAGAGGATAGTAAACCACGTACCCTTTGGTGAGTGAGGACGTCGCAGCCAATTTCGCGTTCGCGGCGCTGGATGAGCTCGACGTAGGCCTTCATGCCCTCCGTCGCGAATGAGCGAGCGAACAGGTCGCTGATGTATGCGTTCGAGTGCAGACCACCGAGCTGTCATAGACGCCATCAGTCCCGTACTCCAATCGTACGCAACCCATTGTCGACTCACCGTGATGAACTGCCACACGAAACCGAGCTTGCCAAGCTCCCACACGTACGACTTCATATCGTCCGCATTCAGGCCCGCAGCCTCCCAGTTGAACGACGGACTCAGGTTGTACGCGAGCCACTGCTCGGGGAACACCGCGTGCACGCCCTCCGCGAACTCGCGCGCCTGCGCCAGGATCGGCTTCTTCGTCTCCATCCACAGCAGGTCCGAGTACGGCGCGAACGCGATCGCGCGGTTGATCGCGCACTGCGTCCCGCCCTGGTACCGGTAGAAGCCCTCGCGCGTGCGCGGCGCGTCCCAGTCCCAGAACGGCGCCTGCCGCAGCCCGAACTCCTTCTGCGCGATCGTGACCGCGTCCGAGTACGACGTGTGCGCGATGCGCTGGGCGAAGCGCGCCAGGATTTGCTCGGAGGCGCCTTGTGCGCGGAGTGCGTTTGCGAGCGTGGTGGAGAAGAGCTGGATATTCGCAGCCGCCATCCACTTCTCCTCGACGGCCTCGAGCGCATCGCCGGTCTTGCCCGCCTTCTCTGCCTCGTTGAGCTCGGCGTTAAGCGGGCGCAAGTTCGGGTTCGTCGACCCAAGGATGAACGGGTGGTCACGCTCGTCGACGTTCGTCGTGATGAGCGTCGCGGCCTCTGAATCCGTGCGCGCGATGACGAGGTTGTTCACGCCCATGATGTCAAACTGGAGGCGGATCGCGACGAGCCGGTTAATGTGCTCCTGGATCGGGACAAGCACCTTGCCCGCCATGTGCCCGCACTTCTTCGTGCCCGGCGCCTGGTCCTCGATATGGATGCCCGCGGCGCCCTTCTCGACGAACATCTTGGCGAGCTTCATGGTCGCGGTGAGGCCGCCGTGGCCGGTGTCCGCATCCGCGACGATTGGCCGGAGGTAGTCAATGGCGGGTTCCTCCGCGAGCTCCTTGTCCGACAGGCGTGACCGGATCTCCCGCTGCTTGCGGTCGTGGAAGAGCTGGGCCATGAAGAGGTGCTCGACCTTGTTGGGTACGGTGTTTGAAGGGTAGTCTGGCGCAGAGGTCAGACGTTGCGCGAATAGCTATGTTGATGCATGGGCATACCAGCAAGGTCAGGACCGGGCTCGTTTGTGCTTGACGCGGTACTCGATGATTGCCACCCAGACACGTACACGGTCTCGAGGTACTTCGCCATCTGGGTCACCTGCACGGGGTCAAGCCTGTGTCGCGTTCATTAGCGCCGTCTCAGGCGTATAAAACCACGCATATACTCACGCGCCGTAGGTGTGTGAGGGTGTGCCATTGGCGTAACGCTCCGAGAGGATGCGGAAGAGCTTCTTTGCCTGCACGTCCGAAGGGTAGGAGATGGGCAGCGTGCCGCGCTTCGACACGACCTGTGCCGCGGTGTACGGCCGCTTGGTTTGTGAGAAGCGAGGGTCCTGCAAACGGCGCGTCCGTTAGCTCCGGGGGCGGTTAGGGGCACGCGACAGAACACACCTTCCACCACTGCTCGACCTGGGCGACCTCGGCCTGGAAAGCTGCGCGTTCGCTAGACATGGCTGTTGATGTGAGTGGGCGACGAGGAAGGGATGGTGACGGTCAAGAGGCAAAGAGAGGGAGAAGGGGGAGGCGGGAGGGGGAATGTGGGGACACGGAAATGGGCCGCAAGGACATTTGAATGTTCTGCGAGCCTGGCACCGATCGCATGAAAGTGGCAGGCGCCTGCCCAGAGGACAAGCCGGCACATGTGATTGGGCCCCGCCCCGCCCGGGCGCTTGCCGATGTGGGGCCCCGCCCAGGCGCTCGGTGCGCCGTTCCCCGCCTCCGCACCCCCGCGTCGGCCGACCCCTGCCCGAACACCCCCGACGCGGCGAGAGACCACGCCTCGACGTCTGCTGTCCAGCCTACTGCCACCCGCTGTGGGAGTGATTGCGGCGTTGGAAGGCGTCGCACACCGCACATACGCACTAACACCGGCGTTGTGGGTACCCTCCGCCGAGTGCTAATCGACGTACCTGCCAGGTGAGCGTGACCCGTAGCCGCGTTTCGGACTTTGGACGGAGGCGTTCATTATGATGGTGACGTCGGGCGCGCTTGCACGCCGTTGTCTGTGCGACCATGTGTCCTACTTTGCGGACGCTACTTAACACCAGAAGAGGGTGAAGCACATTCGATATTCACACCGAACCCTCGGTCTACCGCCGGTTACCGTCGTACACGAGCCCAGCCAGACCATACCGCACGAAGAACGCCACCAAGCTCCCGCAAACCTACGGATGCAAAAAGGGGTGACCCAGGCCATCAGCGATCCCGTTCCAATTCCATCCACACACGCCAGGCCTTCTCTCCCGCGCCCACGAGGGGCGCCGGGGATTGGACGGACGCCAAATAGCAGCAGGAGACGGGAGCTCACCTGCGTCGCAATCAGCACCTTTGTGAGGCTGTCCTCCCTCATCGGCCCGAGCCGGAGCAGAAACACGTTCAGAATCGTCAAGTTCGTCGTGCGCGCAACGTCGCCCGATCGCTCATCAAACTCGAGCTGCACGAGCCCCAGTGCGGAAAAGACACGGAGCACGAGTGTCGCGAGCGCAGTCGGGCGCTTGTCCTTGAATTCCGCGCGGGAGGGGTGCAGGAGCTGCGTCTCCGGATCGTACCTGTACACGGGGCCCCGTGGGGTGTCAGTCGCGGAGTTCGGAAATGGGTCGTGTTCCCCGTGGGGTATATAGACCCATCTGGGTCGGGCGAGCAGACGCACCTCGGAACGCGATGTCGGGGACACGGAACAAGTCCGAAGAGCTGGGGGCACGAGAGCACGAAGTTGAAGATCTGGGGTAGGAAGAAGAGGAGCAAGGTCTTCGAGAAATGCGCTTGGATTCCGACGACGGCGAACGCCATCCCCGTCACGTAGCATAGGGTATCACCCGGAAATGCGCGCGCAGGATACCTAGCAAAACAGGTAAGTCGAGAGGTGAGTTCACGTTGCCTCAAAACGGTACGCACCAGTTATGGTACATGAACCCGAGGCATACGCCCAGCAATGGCAGCATGAAATACAAACTGAACAAATGCCGCTCGACGAGGATCCTGCTACCGTACGCCATTCCCGCGCTCCAAACACCTCCTACTTTCACGCCGTCTGTGACGTGGATAGGAAGAGGTATACGGAAGCCGAACGCCCAAGGGAGATAGAGAAGGTCATTGAGAATCACAGAGACTGCGATGACCACTGCTTGCGAGACCTCTGAGCCGTTGATACCCGCGAGGATATTGATGCTGTTGGTGCAGAAGGTAGAGAGTAGGGACATGTACACATAGTACAGCGGACCTATAGGCAGGGTGAGTAATCTTCCCGCCGCATATGATGTAACGAAGCGCACCGAGATTGATCAATGTGCCCAGAAGCCACCGAAGTGGGATCGGAACCACTACGTCGGTGGTCCCTCGCTCAGAGTAGTAAACGATGAGCAGCGGGATGCAAGCAATGATAGGTATGGGCAGCTTGTGGCGCCACCGGATGTCGAAGACGTCGTCTAGAAAGCCGAGCATGGTGGCTATCAAGAGGGAAAGGATGGAGGACAGATATACTGCCAGCTTGCGAAAACAGACTTCCGCAGTCAGTAAGGTGAGCTGGAAGAACAGATGAGCGACTCACTTGATGGTGAGGGAACTCATTGACCACGATGCCTTCGCGCGCACCCCTCGGCGCGTCATGGTGGTTGGTGATAGATTCTGAGAACGCGTAGGGTACGAACAGGATGAGAAGTAGGATGTAGAGGGATGCACAGACGAGCCCCTGGCTCTCTGGGCTAGTTCAAAGAGTGTTCAGCGCCTCGCACGGAGTCCGACAACTCAGAAGACTCACATCGGCGTGTCGTACGTCTTCAGCAAATCTCGGCCCTTCAAGTTGGCATGTATGAACGTTGGACCCAGTGCAGGCACGAGGTATAGCGAGCCCAGGAAAGCGAGTATGGAGAGTCCGAAGGCAGCATACAGCGCGGGCAGAGCGGGGGCTGGTTCAATCAACGGCCGAGTAAGAAACCAGAGGGCTGTAGGGACCAGTGCGAATAGCAGAGCTTGCGGAAGTGGGCGCGGGCGTATCGCCTGTTCCTGCGCCATGGTTGGGTCCGCGAGAGCAGAGAGATTTTGGACACGAGGGCGAGTATCAGACGTGCGGGGAGTAGCGTAAGGAGAGACGGTACGGGGCGTGCATTGGTTTGTGCGGCGAGCACGGTGGCGGCAAAGCGCGAAGGCGTTGCAGAGGACGTGTCGATGATCGCTGGAACGCGTCCCACGTGGCTGGCTACCGGCGGGCGTCTACTTCGCATACATGCTGCGTATCCCGAAATAGCCACAAGCTTGAGCTCTTGACCCCCACCACGATGAGTATTCGAACTCCCTTCCGCCAACGCCACAAAAATTTCGCACTGATACCAAAGCTGTGTTTTATGCTCCTTATTACTGGTATTATGAAGGTGTTCGGAGAATAATTCCACGTACGTGTGTAAGCTTACCTATCCGTCCAAACTCATGCTGCGTCCGTGACTGATCACCTTCAGGTAGCTACGTGAACGAAGGCACGGCGTATATGTACAGTGAATGTATGGCACCACTCAAACGTGCCTGCAATCCAACGCAGGATGGTGAATACCTGACGCGCCCGCCGGGCTGTGGGCCGACAATTGCAAAATTGTCTGCATCCCTTCTCCTCTCCAATCAGCCAGCCCGTAGCACGGCGAATAATCCACGGGGGTGACCGGGGTTCGCGATAGAACCACTGCACATAAATTGTAGTGTTCTACGGCGGCGAATATATACCCACTCACCCGCATCATGAACTCGAACAGCTTCCCGAGACAATACACATCCCATGAGTACGGGTCAAAGTAGTCCATATCCAGAGGCCGGGGGACTTGAGCGTAGCGAAGGGGTATTGCCGGTTGAACGCCCGGACCCAAGGTGAGTTGTCGAGAGGTTCCAAAGTCGATGATGTAGGCCCGCCACGCAACTAGCCGGCTGTCCATTCGGGCTTCGTAATCGGTCGCCACAAGTGTATTGCCGTCGCAGATGTCCTAGAGTCAATTCAGCACCACAGCAATAGCACGGTACAGATCATGAAAGTTTTACCATGTGCGCTATCTTTTGCTCGTGCAAGTACTCGACACCCTACACACGACAGCGTCAATATGTAGTACGTGGCCGGCCGAGGGCGTACGAACCTCAACAACCTGGCGGAAGACATCCAAAATCCCGGACAGAGTCCACCCGCTCAACCTCGCTGTGTACGTGTTGTGTGCAGACGGCATGATGAGGATCGTCTTCAGTCCCTCGCACTCGATGATTTCGCATGGCATGGTGTGGTTCCGACGACACGGGTCGCGCTGCAGTCGCCGGTATATAGCGGCCTCCTGATTGCCCGGCTCCACAATCTTCACAACGCGGACAGGTGGGTTAAAGGCTGAGGTGGCAAAAACCGCATACTGTGCCAAGAAAATAAGCAAGGTCAGCTAGATGTTGGACAACGGGTTGGATCGGAAGTCGCGTACAGGCTGCATGCAATCTGCACCCAGAACGATACCTCGCCTTTGGAGCTCGGGGTGATCCATGAGCCAGCTGGGCACCTTCGTCATACTTTCTACTTCCATGTTTGGTTCAAGACAAGGAAGAGGAACAGTGGAAGGTCGCTGTAAGCCGAACCATGCGCCGTGATGGCCTCAAGCAAGTACAGTAAACTCGCCGCGACATACCAACACCGCCACGCGGACACCGAACGCATTACATAGGCGCCCAACTAGATGTTCTTGCTTCTCTCCACCACTCGCCGCCTGAAAATTTCCGACCGCTAGTCTGATCACAATGGGATCTAGCTATATGCAGATCTAGCGATAAATCTATGAAGTCAAATTTCGCGGTGTTTCGGTCTTCCTACTGTAGGTCTCCCTTGTGTTCTTGACGCGGAGGTCACATTCCACGTGCTCACTGCTCACGCAGCGCGAAGGTTCGCGTCTCCAAGTTCAACTTGGCTTCGACGCGCACACACTCTAATCCTGCCAAGCCCGTCTACCTCTACGCTTACGTCGAAACAAACTTCTGGTTCGATAGTCGTGGGCCAACTCTTTTGGGACTATGTGCTCCGGAGAGGGAGATAGTGGCACTTGTAGTAGGGAGGAAATCGCCCGCTTGACACGCGACAACGCCTCCCTCGTCGAGCTGAACGCTGCGCTCAAAGACGGAAACGCTGCGCTCAAAGATGCAAACGCCGCACTGAAGGACGCAAACACAACTTTCAAAGCCCTAGTGGCATCCTTGCAGAGCGAGCGCGCAGCCCTTCTTGGGCAGCAAACAGAACACCTCATAGTCACGGAACATTCGACATGGACGGTGAGTGACTTGGATGAAGTGGGCATGTAGCTCTACTACACAGACTCCCGCATGCAGTATCAAAACTGAGCTGCCTCTTCTGCAGGCACCGCACACTCGTTATCTGCACGGCGGCGTATGGAAGCTCCCTCAAGAGATCATGCTTCGTATATTCTTGGCGACTATTCCTTCCGACGACGACTACGATCTTTCTGTGCGGGCTGGTCCCCGAACCGCGTGGACTCTTTCTGTCAGTACGCGAAAGGCGCTCACTTCCGTCTGCAAGGCCTGGTATGGCGCCGCTTCCGAGGCCCTCTATGCCGACATCGCCCTCCGGCGTATGGGACAAATCAACGCACTCGCCCGCACTCTCCGTTCTTCCCGCGCCGTTTATGCACCAGACCCAAGCGCATTTATAAAACGCATCCGCATAGCCGGGTGCACCGTGTCCTCCCGGTGTGCACGGGTCGCTAGGGCGGATCTCACATACATCCTGGAATCTTCCTCGAGGCTGAAGACCTTTGAGGATCGCCCTGATCCGCTCTTGGAAACGTTACGCGAAGACCCCCTCGATGTCGAGAAGTGGTACAATCCTGTATGGTTTTGGGATCACCTTCAAGGCACTCCCGGCGGCGCTTTGGCCGAACGTTGTGCTTCCGGGCTACAGCATCTGGCGTTCGCGGAACTCAGAGACGAGGAGCACCTTATATATATCCACCACTTGCTTCTCGTAGAGACACACTTGGCGACTGTAACACTGGGGCCTCTCTGGATCGAGGCTCCTACAGTCTTACCAACCTTGTCTCAGCAAACCCCCATCAGCCTTCCCCATCTCACCGACCTCCAGATCCCTAGCGCCCTTTTGAACGTTGAACAGTACACCTCTGACATCTGGCACCTTCCCAATCTTCGCCAGCTAACTGTCCTCTCCTGCCACGAGATCCCTCGAAACGCCCTGGACCTCTTCGGAAAGCGCCTGAAGTACCTCCACGTCGTCCCCGAGCCCGACTGGAAAGGGGAGTTCTCGGAAGGCCCACTCTCCATGCTCAGGACCCTCTGCCCCGTCCTCGAACACCTCGTGCTCCCGCACATCGCCACGCTGAACCTGCCATGCGTGATCGCCTCTCCCACTCTGCAGTACCTCGACATCTGGGGCTCCGCACACAAACGCCGCGTCGTCGAGCTCATGTGCGAAATGGGCCGCGCGTGCTCGCTACCCAGCCTCCGCGCGATCCGCATGCTTACCCCGTGCAACCCCTATCCTGACGATTCCGTGGAGACGCGCCTGCCGCTCTTCTGCGACCCCGCCGACGTGACCGGAGACGCCGTGCGCGTGCGCACCCTTCCCTGGGGCGTTCGGGTGCTCCAGACGTCGTGGGCGATCCTGCGTGACCTGGGCGGGCGGGACGGGGATGATATCCGGTTTTACAACGTTCCGTTCGACGAAGAGGTCGACTCAGAGGCCGGTGGGGGTTCCGACTATGAGCCTTCGTGGGCAGGGGAGGAGGCAGAGGGTGACGAAGTGGGAGGGGCGGTGGAAGACGAATGGGAGGCGGAGGACGAAGGCGATGGAACGTCATGGGTGTCCGACTCCGACTCCGAGGCCTCTGTCGGCGAAGACGAGGATGGCCCCGGGCCTGAGCTGGTAGCAGCAGGCATTCAGGATTTCGACCGAGAAACGGTCTTGGAGATGTTTGCGAGGAGCCAAGAGGGGGACTACCTACTTGATGACGAACCTAGTCTGTGAGCGCGTAGGCGATACACAAAGATATAGAGATACAATTCAAATCAGCGCTGTATACCCAACAACCTGTACTAGTAGCCCTACGGTAATGACCACAACCTAAAATTCACTCAAGCCAGTCAGAATCGCCGACATTGAATATGAGACCAGCCGCCTGCTTTCTGCGCAGTGCCTTCCCCTTCAACTGGCGAGCAGGTACCTTCCGTGGTCTCATGGAGTCCTCATCTTTCGTGTCCCCAGTTCGTAAGGTAGTGGTCGAAGCATCATTGCCCGATAGCCGTTTCTTCTGCAACGCGAACAGAAGCCGGTTCTGCGGTGTAGGAGGGACCGACTTGGGCCTCGCGGAAGTAGGACGAGCGCTGCGGAAACGGGGAGCGATGTCGCCGTAGAGATCGTCGATGTTATGCGGGTCTGGCTCGGGAGAGGCGACGGGGACGGGCTCCGGCGGCGGAGAATCGACGTCCATATGGTCGTCGCCCAGCTTCCACTCTACTTCTTCAAGGTCTTTGGATTGCGAGCGCATCTCGGGGAGGTCATGTCGTGGAGAAAACGTGCGGGCGGCGGTCTTGCGTGCGCTTTGGGGCCTGCTCAGGATATAGTCCACGGTCGGGGGAGGTTGGAGCTGGCCGCTGGCCCGCATGTTGGAGATGAGGTCTCGGAGGTCCTGGGCGCTCACCGAGGGCGCTGGAGGAGTTGGGATTACGGGGGGCACAGGGGACGTCATTGGTCTTTTGGGCGCGGCGGAACTATGGGCATCTCTGCTTGGGGGTGGAAGGGGCCGCGCGGGGAGTCCACTGGTGACGTGGACGCGAGCAGGGGAGGAGGGACGCACCTCGTCCACCGGTCTTTGGGAGGGAACCAAAGGAGTGATGACGAGGGCATTCTTCGCAGGGCGTTTCTGGCGATCGTATGCATCAATATAGAGCTCTGGCGAGACGGAAGTTGGGATTTTACCTGGCGACCTCCTGCGGACCCTGCACCTTTCCCAAGAATGTGAATTTGACGATCTGAGGTAATGTTCGGAGCAGATTTGGACGGGAAACCTCCCGCAGCAGGAGCATCGAATGCACTAGGAGCCACCGCCTCCCGCGGATTTGTCTGGCTGGGAGGTTTGGCTGGGACTTGCGCGGGAACGGGTGTAGGGAGAGGTACAATGACTAGGGAAGACATGTCTACCATCTCAACGTCGTCATCGATCTCTATCACGGCAGGGGTTGCAGGTGGCCGGGGATGAGTCGCCTGGTTGTCCGAGTTACGACTGGTACTTAACGATGCGGTAGGCACGGCTGAACCAGTAACGGTGGCCCTCGCCGCGTCCGTGATTCCATCTCTTTGTGTGGGAGTAGCTTGGGGCGCGCGGCTCGTCTCCAGAACCCGCACCGGCGCAGCAGCGGGTGGGTCAACACGAGGTCTCTTCGAGCAACGACGACATTGCCAAGCAGCGAGACCCGCGTCACGCTTTCCCTTCTCGTCGGCTTCGATGCGGCGCAAGAGTTCCTGCTCATTCACGGGAGGGATGTGACATGCTAAAGAAATTTCAGCTATGATCTGCCATGATGTGTATTGTACTCACTGTGATGCCATGCGCGTTGACATCTGCAGCACGCGATGAGAAAGGCCGCAGGGGTGTCGTGTGTCTGATTACATCGGACGCAAGGGATCTTGGGAGCAGCGCTGACGACTACGCTCATCTAACTCGTCGTCGGCTGGATGGTATGATGACTGTGAGAGTATAAGGGAGGGCGCATAACGATGATCTGGCGTGTACGCAATCCTCGAAGTAGACGGACAAGAGGCGTTTTGGGAGTCCTCGGATTCGAAGCACGTAGGTGCACGTGGGAGCACCGCAGGTCGATCGCCGCCGCAGCTGCTCGCGCGACGCGGTACGCGCTCCCCCGCCGTGCCTCAAAGACACGATGTGTGCCGCCGAGACCCAGAAGGAAACACGATGGACAAGCGTATCACTCTCCCCCACGCGCGTGGTGGAGGTGGAGAAAGAGACCAACAAGCGAGACGCCCGGCAAGATGAGGCATACCCGCTCCGGGTCAGGGCCGCTGGGCGCCAAGCGCGTCCAGACGTCATATACACCGTTCAGCTGTTTCCTCCAACACTCGTTATACCCCTTCTCTCCATACCATGGTTTCTCTCTCCAGGCCTCCAGACGGCCTCTTCGATGTCGTCAAAAACGCCATCGTCCACCACGCAGACGAGCGACAGACGGACAAAGAGGAACACCCGTCGACTCCTCCGTTGGCGCAGCCACCCGTAGTATGTCTTCAGTTCAGTCCTGCGCGAGACCACTGCCGACCGCGCGTTGTCGCAGGAGAACAATAAACCATTCAATAACAGCCATGATCAACAATCACAAGATGAGAGGCCGTGGGGAGACGATAATAGAGAGGGCACGGGCGAGAGCGCGCCTCCAGACAAGCCGCCGGATGTGAGTAGAGTCCCCGCCTTTACAAGCATCCGTCACCCGTATGATGCTTGCATGAGTACATCGAAGCCCATGCTATGTTGTGACACAGGTCAGCCAGAGGCCCTGGAGGCGTGTGGCTGGCCTGTGTCCAGAATGCCGTGTCCCCGTTGCGAAAGGGAACGCGTCGAGTTGGTGTACTGGAGACGACAGAATAATGGGACAGTAGCGGGTACACGCGCGCCGGTAACTTCAGAACTAGCCGCACTCTATGTGGTGCGTCCGGAGGTCGACTACGTCCTGCGGGACGATTTTGAAGAGATGCTACGACGAGTAGAGGAGCTGCGCTTTCAATTTATACGGGCAAGATCTTGACCTGCTGCCCTGCTCCACCATATGTGGTTTCATGACTACATCACAAACATGCACTCATATTAACATTTTAGAAACGTGCCGAGCAAGATGGTCAACTTCCGGATCCTCAACCGCCCGAAGAGCAACCCTCTCTGCCAGCGTCCCCAAAGTCGAAGACGTCCTTCCATCCTTCTGCAAAGTCCCCTGACGACAGCAAACGTGGAGCGCGTCGTGGCCTGTCTATCTCTACCTCCCGAGGTTACGTCCCTCAGCCCGGAACTCCGCAACAACGAACAGGTCCTCCCAGATCCATATCATACAACTATTCCCTCTCCAGCGCACACGGACACACCCTTTCCCCTACTACCTCCAGACAGCAGGAAGACAACTCGACGGTAGAGGAGGACCCGGACCGGAGTTACGACTTCCCGACCTCGGTGACCTCTCCGTTTCGCGGCGCGCTTGAGTATGGGGACCGAGAATTACGTGAGCGCGAGCGTGAAATCGCGGAGCGTAAGCACCGACGCAAGGACAGCTACTTTCACAACCCTATGAAGTGGCTTACGGAGTCTCCCCGCGATACGCCAAGGGATGAAGAGCCGCCATTTAACTTCACTCGCACGCGCACGGAGGGTGGCCATCAGGACAGCGAGGAAGGGGAGGCAGCCGCGGGCCCCTCCCAGGCGACATCTCCACAAACTCCCGCGGGCACGCCACGTCTGCGGTACTCCCGATCTATGCCGCACATCGACAGGGAAGGACGCTCACCTGCCGCACCCAAATGGGGTAGGCTACGCTCCCTTCTCCCTCATATCGCCAGCCAAGCCAAGACCCAGACGCCGGCTCCTTCGACGGTGGTTTCTCCTAATGTGAACATCACTGACGAGCTCATCACTGGCGGGCTGGCCACACAGATGCTTCGCATGTGGTTTGAGCGGGACGATAAAGGACACCGTAGAGTTCCTGCGCTATTCCACCGACTGCGGATTCGTGTCAGCGACAGCTTGCACCCACTCCACGGGAATAAAGCTGTCTTCCGGATCGAATGCGAGTATGCCAATGGCGCGGTGCGGTGGGTTGTCTATCGCCAGTTGCGCGAGTTCCTCTCGCTGCACACCCATTATACCCTATCCAACGCGTACAACCGGAATATAGAGACGTTGCCGGAGTTCCCCCTGACCAGTAGGTGCATGATGCTCCGAAGCAGCGGCTATTTTGCTGACCGCTCGTAGCTCTTCCGTACTTCAAGTTCTTGAAGGAACGCGGCAATGATGTCGGTCGCGCCGACTTCGCGAGACTGCAGCGCGAGACCCTTGAGAACTACCTGATTGGTCTTATACGCGCTGTCGTACGTTGTCTCACGCATTCGTGCTGTACGAGTGCTGATAACCTTCCAGATGTTTCATCCTGCTGTGAACCGCTTGGCTGGCTTCCTTGAGCTTGGCGCACTCACTATAGCTCTCGCGCAGTCGGGTGGAGCGCAGTACAAGGCGGGTTTCCTTCGTTTAGATGCTGTATCACCGAAGGGTGCGTTCGGACGTAAAGCTGCTGGATGGCAGGAGAAGAAGAAGCAGCGATGGTGTGCAGTTCGAGAGAGCTATCTAGTAGTTATGGAGGAAATGGGAGAGGTGGGTACACGGTCCAACTGGCATCGCATCCCTCACTGATTTTCAAACAGCTCGTCGTCTGGGATGTCTTCCTAATCGACCAAGACTTTAAGATCGAACGGCCGACGCGTTACTATCGACAAGGTCTGAACCTATTTCACCAACTGGATGACCACGACAGCGACCACGAAGACGAGGACAAGAGCCACCAGCAAGACAGGAACAAGGCCGGGGCGCCACCTCAGCCACGCAAAAGGCTTGGGTCTACCGTCGGCTCCATCAAGAGCTCCTTCTCCAAGGTACTCCACCTAGGACACAACCATGGCGCACATCAGCGTAATAACGCGTCCGCCAACAATCTTGCTGTGGGCGCGCAAAACGGTGGCCGCCGCTCAAGCGTAACCTCGGGGACGTCCGGCGTTTCTGGTCCTTCCTTCCACCCGCTGACTCCGATGTTGGACCCTTCGACGAACACCAACCCGTTAGAGGGCGTGCACGATGAGGACCACGTGGGTGAAGACGACCTGCACCCGCCGACCGAGGATCCGGGAGCGCAGAAGCGGAGCTCGAAGGACGTGTCGAAGCACACGTTCTACGTGGTGAACGCGCAAACGCGACTAAAGCTGTTTGCGAAGAACGAAAGGCAAATGCTGCAATGGATCGCCGCGTTCGAGCGGGTCGCGAAAGAGAGCCATTACACCGGCAAGAACCGTTTCGATAGCTTCGCGCCCATCCGACTGAATGTGGCGGCGCAGTGGTTGGTGGATGGTGTAAGTCTACTCTGTAGCTCGAGGGATCGCACGAGTGCTCATTCCGAACTTCTAGCGCGATTACTTCTGGAATCTGTCCAGAGCTATCCTACTCGCGCGGGAGACCATCCAGATTCATGACTGGTGGCTTTCTCCAGGTATGCCTTTTCCAGGCGCACATAGGGAATGTCCGCTGACCCTGTGCGCAGAGCTGCAGCTGCGAAGACCAAACAAGGATCGTTACCGTCTCGACCATCTACTGGAGAAGAAGGCGAAGGAAGGCGTCAAGATCTACATCATTCTCTAGTACGCTCACAGTCTATCTACTGCCACACCTATGTTAACCTACTCCTAGCCAGGAGGTGTCGAACCGGACGACCCCTACAGACAGCCAGTAAGCCAGCTTGTTGATCGTCATCCACACAATCACTCATTAGCTTCTCCGTTTCTTGCAGCTACGCCAAGCAGCGCCTGACCGCACTACATCCGAACATCATGGTCCAACGGTCGCCCTCTCACTTCCAGACCGGCACCTTTTACTGGGCTCATGTAAGTGATGGTACTTGAACGTTTCTGATACGTAGCTCACCCGTACATCATTGTAGCATGAAAAGCTCTGCGTCATCGATCAGACAATCGCGTTCATGGGGGGCCTAGATCACTGCTTCGGACGGTATGTATTTCCTGCTTCGCTTTTGCCACGTCTTCCTGACAGAGATATAGATGGGACACACCTCAGCATATCCTCGTCGACGACCCTGAACTCGGTCCTGAAGGTCAGGGTCAGGAGTTCATCTGGCCTGGTGAGTAGTGTGGCGTTCGTGTGTCACACCGTTGCTTATTCCCGGGCAGGCAAGGATTACAGCAATCCGCGAGTGCTCGACTTCCACAACCTAAACAAGCCAGACGAAGACATGTATGACAGGGGGAAAGTTCCCCGAATGCCTTGGTGAGGAAATTGTGGTCGACGCTGTATCGATAAACTGACGGAATTTTCAAAAGGCACGATGTCTCGATGCAAGTCGTCGGACAGCCCGCTCGTGATCTTGCGAGGCATTTTGTTCAAAGGTAGGCTGACCTACCTGTTGACGGGGCAAAGCTGACCTACCGTGACATCAACAGGTGGAACTACTTGCTCAGGATTAAGGTACGTGTACGCCATGTCAGGGGGTAACCTGATGCTAAGTAACTGGGTGTGCAGAACCACTCGCGTACCATGCCGTTCTTGCTCCCACCACCGGAGTTCAAACCCGGTGAGCTGGCAGAGATGGGCCTGACGGGAACATGCGAGCTGCAAATCTGCCGCTCTGCTGGACCTTGGTCCATGGGGACGCCCGAGCGGATCGAGCATTCCATCCAGAACGCGTACTTGAAGGGTGAGTGGATATCTCGGACAGTGTTTCTAATGCTGCACGTGCTGACGACAGCGCAGCAATCCAAATGTCTGATCATTTCGTGTACATCGAGAACCAGTTCTTCATTACCTCGTGAGTTCGGTAGCTTCGCTTGGCGTAAGGCTCGGTACTGACGCGATTGCAGTACTGTTGTGAATGAGGTCAAGGTCGAGAACCGGATCGGCGACGCGCTCGTATCGCGCATCATCCGCGCACATCGTGAGCGGACGCCCTGGAAGTGCTGTATCGTCATCCCGCTATTGCCCGGCTTTGCATTTCCCGTCGACCATAGCGACGCTAGCGCTGTGGGTTCAGTCTCATTCATGGCAACTACGAATAAGTGCTCACGGATATCATTAGATTCGCATCATCCTCGAGTGTCAAAACAGGACGATCAGCCGCGGGCCGAACTCTATCTTCGGTCGTCTGAGGAAGGAAGGCATAGACGTACGTGTTGTGCCACGGTTGCTTTCATGCATCTAACGGGGGAATAATAGCCCGACAACTACATTACTGTGTTCTCGCTTCGCAACTGGGCCAAGCTACGTGGTGAGGTGCTGACCACGGAGCAGGTGCGTACTTTCGTTTCAAAGCGAGATTCGATGAAACTGACTGCTTTGCAGGTCTACATTCACGGCAAGGTCTGTATCGTGGACGATCGTCTGGCAATCATCGGCAGCGCGAATATCAACGAGAGGTCTCAGCGAGGAGACCGGGATTCAGAGATAGCAGCGGTCATTCGCGACACGGACATGCTTGACTGGTAGGTCGTTTGCCTACGACAGTTGTCGAGCTAGAACTCATCGTTGGCTGCAGCACGATGGCGGGGAAGCCCTACAAGGTCGGCCGCTTCGCTCACAGCCTTCGCGTGCGCCTTATGCGGGAGCATCTCGGAGTCGACGTCGACGCCCTCTACGAGGAGGATCTTATGGCCGCTGAACCCAACAAGGAGGAGTACGAGCAAGAGCATTGGGACCCTGAAGGCGAGCAAGAGTTCGGTGATGCTGGGGTGACGCACATCAGCAGAAAACACCAGCGTACCGCCATGGGATCTCTGGTACATGACACCATTGACGGATTGGAGCAAGGTATGTTTCTATCAGTGTTATCTTGATTCACTTACTGAGGAATTTTGGTAGCCATTCATGGCACTGGGGAGGCTGGGTCTAAGGATATGTCCGTGTTGATGAGGAAGGCTGGCCTAAAGACCAAGAATGCTGATGCGACCGCCGGTGACCGCTTCTTGCGGGAGGAGCGGGAGATGTACACCCGTGACGGACAGAAGGAGCCTGGTTTCGCTAGTTCTCTTGTCCCGACCCTCGAGGAGAAGGTCATCGCTGAGCATCGTCCTCCGCAAGAACACGCCACAGCTTCGACCATCCACCGCCAGCTGGAGGAGGATAGCGGTCTGGAGGACGAGCAAGATGGGGATGCTGGTCGCAGGAACGGCATCATACCAAACGGCGATGGTGATGCGAAGAAGGAGCAGAACGGCTCGGCGACAGCACCGAACGGGGACGCTCACCGTTCCGAACCCCCTCAAGCGCGTCTCGAGGACGGCGAGTTGTACGGAGCGCCCGCCGATGCGTCGGTGGACCCCATGCACGACGATCAGCCTCCACACGCGAGGGCCTCTAAGACTGATGCCGACGAGGAAGAGAGCAAGGCGCCAGGGGCTCGCGCGACACTTCGGAAGCATCTTGCGGCGAAGCTTGGTAACAAGGCATGGCAGCTTCCGACACCCACCCCGAACGTCGATCCGTACGGCTTCGAAGATCCCATCCGGGACGAGTTCTGGAAGGAAACCTGGGTCGCGAGCGCCGTTCACAACGTAGGTCGCTTCCTGATTCCCAGAGATCTGGGGAACTGAGCACGTCCGACAGACCGAGATCTATCGCAAGGTTTTCCATGCGATCCCTGACGATCTCGTCACGACGTGGAAGCAGTACAAGGAGTTCATCGTACACCACGAGCGTCTCAACAAGCCTGTGAGTCCTGACAATGCGAGGGCCGCCAATAAATGTATCCTCATCATTATATAGGTCAAGGAGCACGACCCCTCAGACCCACCTCTTGCGCGTATGCCTTCCGAGGCAGCAGATCGCGAAGCGCCAGGACAGGCCCGTGTAGCTGACCATTACGCGTATACTTCCGAGGACAACCTAGCTAGGGAAAAGGAGCACGCGGACGACTATGAGGAGTCGCGAACATCGTCTACCCCTCTGCCATCCGAGACGCCAGGGGGAGCTGGACAGAAGGAAAAAGAGAAGGAGAAGGAGAAGCAGCGGCCGGCGTCGAAGGGTCCCAAGCCCTTCGAGCAATCGGAGCGAGACGAGATGGAAAACCTCTTGAACGAACTGCGTGGTCACCTTGGTGAGTCTTCCTCAGTGATGATATTAGTCCTTACTGACAAGAGATGCAGTGATATATCCTACGCGATTCTTGGAAGGGGAGGATGTTGCAAACAACTTCTTGTTCCCTACCGACAGGCGAGTTCATATACGCCTTTATGTTGATCTACTACTGACATGTACACCATAGGCTCATGCCGCTGCCAATCTACGACTAGAGATACCCCACGGGAGATGGCTGCGCTCACTGTCTTCGGCTTGACTCTACGTTGCTGAAATATCGGACTACGCCGCACACTCGTTTAGTGTATATGATCTAATCGTCGTATTGTACCATCAACGGACTACCTAACTTATACACACGCGAATGGACACTCCTTTTTTGACTGTAACTGTAACCTGTACGATATATTTGGCTATCCAACATCGACCTGCGAGATTCAGGCGGCATCGCTCTGTACAACACGCGTGTCGGAGTGTCAATACGAAGTGCGCTCCGCGTAAACTATTCTGCCACGTGACACACGCGCATCCGTTGTCGCTGAGGGCGCTTACTGAGCAACTCACCCACTTGCTCTCGTCGTCGACCATGAGCTACCCTCCAGGAATGCCTCCGCCCCCTCCTGGCATGAGAATGCCGCCTCCGCCCCCCGGCATGCCTGGAATGTCCGCACCGCCGCCAGGAATGCCCCACCAACCAGGATTCGGTGAGCCTTCGAGCTCTCGTATGCCTCCGGAGGTTCTCGCGCAAAAATCCCAGAAATGGATCCAAATGCAGAGGAAGAGGTACGGCGAAAAGCGTAAGGGCGGCTTTGTGGATATGGGGAAGCAGGTACGCACACTATCAGGCGTATTCGCAGCTGCAGAACTGACATCTTTCTAGGACCTCCCTCCGGAGCATGTCCGCAAAATCATCAAGGACCACGGTGACATGAGCAACCGCAAGTTCCGCAACGACAAGCGTGTTCACCTCGGTGCTCTCAAGTACGTCCCGCATGCCGTCATGAAGCTGCTGGAGAACATTCCTTACCCTTGGGAGCAAGTCCGCGAGGTGCCCGTGCTCTACCACATAACGGGAGCTATCACGTTCGTCAACGAGATTCCCCGTGTCATCGAGCCGGTGTATCACGCGCAATGGAGTACGATGTGGCTCGCTATGCGAAGGGAGAAGCGAGACCGTCGGCACTTCAAGCGTATGCGGTTCCCTCCTTTCGACGACGAGGAGCCCCCTCTGGACTATGGCGACAACATTCTGGATGTCGAGCCCCTGGAAGCCATTCAGCTGGAACTGGACGAGGAGGAAGACGCTGCGGTTCATGAATGGTTCTACGACCCGAAGCCCCTCGTCGACACCCCACATGTCAACGGGTCGTCCTACCGGTACTGGAACCTGACGTTGCCCATCATGGCCAACCTGTACCGCCTAGGTAGGACGCTCCTTTCCGATCACACAGACGACAACGCCTCCCATCTCTTCGACAAGAAGTCCTTCTTTACCGCAAAGGCGCTGAACATGGCCATCCCGGGGGGACCCAAGTTCGAGCCTCTGTACAGGGACATGGACACCTTCGACGAGGATTGGAACGAGTTTAACGACATCAACAAGGTTATCATTCGCCAGCAGATCCGAACGGAGTATCGGGTGGCCTTCCCCCACTTATATAACTCACTTCCTCGGTCTGTCCACATTGCTCCGTATCACAGCCCGAAGAATGTGTATATCCGCACTGATGACCCCGACCTCCCCGCGTTCTACTTCGACCCCCTCATCAACCCGATCTCCCTGCGCGGGTTCACGCCTAAGAACGCCCCTCTCGTCTCACACGAGGATGCTATCTTTGGCCCGAACGACGCGGACGATGACGACTTCGAGCTGCCGGAGGAGGTGCAGCCCTTCATGGAAGATATGCCTCTTGAGAACGACCTTACCGCTGACGCTATCGCCCTCTGGTGGGCGCCTGACCCGTACAAGCGTCGCTCAGGGCGCATGCGTCGCGCTCAGGACATCCCTCTGGTGAAGAACTGGTATCTAGAACACTGTCCTCCCGGTCAACCGGTCAAGGTCCGCGTATCGTACCAGAAGCTCCTCAAGTGCTTCGTTCTCAACGAGCTTCATACGCGTCCGGAGAAGGCGATGACGAAGAAGAACCTCTTCCGACAGCTTAAGGCGACGAAGTTCTTCCAGACGACAAAGCTTGACTGGGTGGAGGCTGGACTGCAGGTTTGCCGCCAAGGCTACAACATGCTCAACCTTCTCATTCACCGGAAGGTACAGTTGACGTTTGTGTCGTTTCTCTCATACGCTAATAATTGGTTATAGAACTTGAACTACCTCCATCTGGACTACAACATGAACTTGAAGCCCGTCAAGTAAGTTAAACGTCACTTCGTCTCTGCGTTGTACTGATCCGTGTATGTAGGACGCTCACCACGAAAGAGCGTAAGAAATCCCGTTTCGGAAACGCCTTCCATCTGTGCCGTGAGATCCTGCGGTTGACGAAGCTCGTCGTCGACGCGCACGTGCAGTTCCGACTTGGTAACGTCGACGCGTTCCAGCTCGCGGACGCGTTGCAGTACATCTTCGCACACATCGGTGCACTGACCGGCATGTACCGGTACAAGTACAAGCTCATGAGGCAAGTGCGCATGACGAAAGATCTCAAGCATCTCATCTACTACCGCTTCAACACGGGTCCAGTTGGCAAGGGTCCTGGTTGCGGTTTCTGGGCGCCTGGCTGGAGAGTGTGGCTCTTCTTCATGCGTGGTATCGTTCCTCTTCTGGAAAGATGGTGAGCACCCTTCGGCAAGTTTGCTGTATCAGGGTTAAACTTACGCCACAATTCTACAGGCTCGGCAACTTGCTCGCACGTCAGTTCGAGGGCCGTAACAGCAAGGGCATCGCGAAGACCGTCACGAAGCAGCGTGTCGAGTCTCACTACGATCTCGAGCTCCGTGCGGCCGTCATGCACGATATTCTCGACATGATGCCTGAGTCCATCAAGCAGAACAAGGCGAAGACGATCTTGCAGCACTTGTCGGAGGCGTGGCGTTGCTGGAAGGCGAACATCCCGTGGAAGGTCCCGGGTATGCCGACTGCTATCGAGAACATTATCCTCCGCTACATCAAGAGCAAGGCTGACTGGTGGACGTCCGTCGCGCACTACAACCGTGAGCGTATCCGTCGCGGCGCGACTGTCGACAAAGCTGTCGTCAAGAAGAACCTTGGTCGTCTCACACGCCTGTACCTGAAGGCCGAGCAAGAACGCCAGCATGGCTACCTCAAGGACGGTCCTTACATCAGCGCAGAGGAGGCAGTCGCTATCTACACGGCGACCGTCCACTGGCTAGAGAGCCGGAAGTTCTCCCCTATCCCCTTCCCGCCGCTGAACTACAAGCACGACACCAAGCTGCTTGTTCTCGCCCTCGAGAAGCTCAAAGAGGCGTATTCGGTGAAGGGTCGCCTGAATCAGTCGCAGCGAGAAGAGCTTGCGCTCATCGAGCAGGCCTACGACAACCCTCACGAGTGCCTGTCGCGCATCAAGCGTCTGCTGCTAACGCAGCGCGCGTTCAAGGAGTCCGGTATCGAGTTCTTCGACACGTACGACAAGCTCATCCCCTGCTACGACATCGAGCCCGTCGAGAAGATCACCGATGCTGTATGTGTCGCTCATGTTCCCGCATATTGCATAACGTACTGACTTCGTCTCATCAGTACCTCGACCAGTTCCTGTTCTTCGAGGCGGACAAGCGCGGCCTCTTCCCGTCTTGGATCAAGCCAGCTGTAAGGGCCCTTACTCTCGAACGATGACCGTTTTGAACTAACGCTCGCGCGTACAGGATACGGAACCTCCTCCATTGCTCGTCTACAAGTGGTGTCAGGGTATCAACAACCTGTCCGACATCTGGGAGACGAGCGAGGGCGAGTGCAACGTTATGATGGAGACCGTTCTGTCCAAGGTGTACGAGAAGATCGATCTGACTCTCCTGAACCGTTTGCTCCGGCTGATCCTGGACCACAATCTCGCGGACTATATCACGGCGAAGAACAACACCGTCCTGACGTACAAGGGTATGCACTCATCCTGTTCGTTTTTGTATCTCACTCACGATATGCCGACAGACATGGCCCACACGAACGCCTACGGTCTCATTCGCGGCTTGCAGTTCTCAGCCTTCGTCTTTCAGTACTATGGTCTCGTCTTGGATCTGCTCATTCTCGGCCTGCAGCGCGCGAGCGAGATGGCTGGTCCCCCGCAGATGCCTAACAACTTCCTGCAGTACCGCGACGTTGCTACAGAGACACGTCACCCCATCCGCCTCTACTCTCGTTATGTCGACAGGATACACATCCTCTTCCGCTTCACTGCGGAGGAGGCGCGCGACCTCATTCAGCGATACCTCAGCGCTAACCCCGATCCGACGAACAACAACGTCATCGGGTACAACAACAAGCGTTGCTGGCCGCGCGACTGCCGCATGCGCCTCATCAAGCACGACGTTAACCTTGGACGTGCCGTGTTCTGGAACGTCAAGCAGAGTCTACCACGCTCGCTCACTACTATCGAGTGGGAAGACACGTTCGTCAGCGTCTTCTCGAAGGACAACCCCCAGCTGCTCTTCTCGATGTGTGGTTTCGAGGTCCGCATTCTGCCCAAGATCCGCACTCTCAGCGGCGAGCAATTCTCGCTCAAGGACGCCGTCTGGAACTTGACGAACGAGCAAACCAAGGAGCGCACCGCTCAGGCGTTTTTGCGCGTATCCGACGAGGGCGTACAACAGTTCAACAACCGCATTCGTCAAGTCCTCATGAGCTCGGGATCTACAACGTTCTCGAAGATTGTCAACAAGTGGAACACGGCGCTGATCGGCCTGATGACCTACTATCGCGAAGCGGTCATCCACACCAACGAACTTCTCGACGCGCTCGTCAAAGCGGAAAACAAGATTCAGACGCGTGTCAAGATCGGCCTGAACTCGAAGATGCCGTCACGTTTCCCCCCTGTTGTTTTCTACACGCCGAAGGAGCTCGGCGGTCTCGGTATGCTGTCGATGGGTCACGTTCTCATCCCGCAGAGCGATCTTCGGTGGTCGAAGCAGACGGACGTTGGTGGTAAGCACCTTCGTATACATCCTGCACTATCGTGTTGCTAACATCATCCTTAGTCACGCACTTCCGTGCGGGTATGTCTCACGAGGAGGACCAGCTCATCCCCAACCTGTACCGCTACTTGCAACCATGGGAGGCCGAGTTCATGGACTCCGCGCGCGTGTGGTCCGAGTACTCGATGAAGCGGAAGGAAGCAAACGCCCAGAACCGCCGTCTAACTCTCGAGGACTTGGAGGACTCGTGGGATCGCGGTATTCCGCGTATCAACACGCTCTTCCAGAAGGACCGTCACACGTACGTCATCTACTTCTTCCCACCTTCGCCACCTGCTAACCGCTTTGTAGACTTGCATATGATCGTGGCTGGCGTGTACGTACCGACTGGAAGCAGTACCAGTTGCTGAAGCAGTAAGTTGTGCACACACTCGTTGGCGCCGACCGTGTCTAATTTCCTTCTAGCAATCCGTTCTGGTGGACTTCGCAACGTCACGACGGCAAGCTTTGGCAGCTCAACAACTACCGTGTCGATGTCATCGCCGCGCTTGGAGGTGTTGAGGGTATTCTCGAGCACACCCTCTTCAAGGGCACCTACTTCCCCACCTGGGAGGGTCTGTTCTGGGAGAAGGCTTCCGGCTTCGAAGAATCTATGCGGTACAAGAAGCTCACGAACGCGCAGCGATCCGGTCTTAACCAGATCCCGAACCGTCGCTTCACTCTCTGGTGGAGTCCCACAATCAACCGAGCCAACGTCTACGTCGGTTTCCAGGTCCAGCTCGATCTCACGGGCATCTTCATGTAAGCTTCTCTTAGTACGGTTGTCGGTCTGTCACTGACGTCGCCACAGGCACGGTAAAATCCCGACCCTGAAGATCAGTCTGATCCAGATCTTCCGTGCGCATTTGTGGCAGAAGAGTAAGTATGCTTCGTGTTCTCGAACGGTGTCGCTTATTCTGACCCTTTCATGCAGTTCACGAGTCTGTCGTCATGGATTTGGTAAGTCCTCCCGCAGGACGTTGGCATAACGCGTGCTTACCCTGCGCCGTCTAGTGTCAAGTATTCGATCAAGAGCTGGAGCCGCTTCAGATCGAGACCGTACAGAAGGAGACCATCCATCCGCGTAAGAGTTACAAGATGAACTCGTCGTGCGCCGACATCTTGCTCTTCTCTGCTTACAAGGTAAGAGACACCATTCATGGTCCTACAACACCTGCTAATTTTTCTTCAGTGGAACATTGCTCGCCCGTCCCTCGTCACCGACGTGAGTGATCATCTCCTGATCGACAATTACGTACTAATGGGTTGGTCGTGCTATAGAGCAAGGATGTGCTCGACGGCACCACCAGCAACAAGTTCTGGATCGACGTTCAGTTGCGTTGGGGTGACTTCGACTCCCACGACATCGAGCGGTACACCCGCGCCAAGTTCCTGGACTACGTAAGTGTTTATGGCAGACCACGTCTTTCCGCCTTCTGATCTCGCTGCTCAGATTTCGGACTCCATGAGCATCTACCCATCACCCACCGGTCTCATGGTCGGCATGGACCTGGCGTACAACTTGTGGTCGGCGTTCGGCAACTGGTTCCCTGGCCTGAAGCCCCTTATCCAGCAGGCGATGGCTAAGATCATGAAGGCGAACCCGGCGTGCCACGTTCTGCGTGAGCGTATCCGGAAGGGTCTGCAGCTCTACTCGTCCGAGCCCACGGAGCCCTACCTCAACAGCCAAAACTACTCCGAGCTCTTCTCGAACCAGATCATTTGGTTCGTCGACGATACCAACGTCTACCGTGTCACTATCCACAAGACGTTCGAGGGCAACTTGACCACGAAGCCCATCAACGGCGCCATCTTCATCTTCAACCCTCGCTCCGGACAGCTCTTCCTGAAGATTATTCACACCAGTGTCTGGGCAGGTCAGAAGCGTCTTGGTCAGTTGGCGAAGTGGAAGACCGCCGAAGAAGTCGCGGCTTTGGTTCGTTCGTTGCCCGTCGAGGAGCAACCGAAGCAGGTGATCGTCACCCGGAAGGGCATGTTGGACCCGCTCGAGGTCCATTTGCTCGATTTCCCAAACATCGTCATCAAGGGTAGCGAACTGCAGCTTCCGTTCCAGGCGTGCATGAAGATGGAGAAGTTTGGTGATCTTATCCTGGTACGTCTGTCCCTTCGGTGTTGCAACAGCAAACTCTCATATATTACAACAGCGTGCCACTCAACCGCAGATGGTGCTCTTCAACCTTTACGGTAAGATTGGAAGTTGTGCGTGCTCGCGCTGGTGTATTGATTTCTGCGTCCTCAGATGATTGGTTGAAGTCGATCTCCAGCTACACGGCGTTCTCCCGTCTCATCCTGCTCCTTCGTGGTCTGCATGTTAACCAGGAGAAGGCGAAGATCGTTCTGCGCCCAGACAAGAATACCATCACGGAGCCACATTTCGTCTGGCCCTCGCTGTCGGATGAGGAGTGGATCAAGGTTGAGGTTGCGCTCAAGGACCTTATCTTGGCGGTCAGTCTCTATTTTGCCGTGGTCCTATCGCCAATACTGATTGTCTCGTGCAGGACTTCGGCAAACGGAACAGTGTCAATATCGCCTCACTCACGTCTAGCGAGATCCGGGATATCATCCTCGGTCAGGAGATTGCGGCGCCCTCTGTGCAACGTCAACAGATGGCCGAGCTCGAGAAGAGCTCAGAGGCGCAGAGTCAGGTTACCGCCGTGCAGACGCAGACTACGAACGTCCACGGTGATGCTATCCAGACCGTCACCAGTAAGTATCCCGCGTGATACCTGCTTCGATATGGGTCGGCTAACACCGCACCGTAGCCACGAACTACGAACAGCAAGTGTTCAGCAGCAAGTCCGACTGGCGCGTCCGCGCGATCTCCGCCACGCACCTCCCACTCCGTCTCCAGCACATCTACGTCTCGAACGACGACGTCAAGGACGATGCGGCGTCGTTCACCTACGTGTTGCCAAAGAATATCTTGCGGGCGTTCATCACCGCTGCGGATCTTCGCACACAGGTGGCTGCTTTCCTGTACGGCGTCTCGCCGCCGGACAACAAGCAGGTCAAGGAGGTCAAGGCGGTTGTGTGGGTACCTCAGCGTGGGAACAATAACAGCGTCGAGCTGCCATCGCAACTGCCCCGCGACGACTTCCTGCTCAAGGATCTGGAGCCACTCGGGTGGATTAAGACACAAGCGCTTGAACTCCCTCATATGTCGCCGACGGACGTCACCACGCAGGCGAAGATCATGGCGGACCACCCCGAGTGGACGTCGTCGTCGATCTGCATCACTGCTGCGTTCACTCCCGGCTCTGTGTCGCTCTCCGCGCACCAGCTCACCGTCCCTGGCTTCGAGTGGGGTCGCAAGAACGCGGACACGTCGCCGAACCCGCAGGGCTTCAACCCGAACATGTCTGAGCGCGTGCAGCTGTTGCTGTCGGACCGTATCCTCGGTATGACGCTTGTGCCGGAGGGGCGGGTGTGGAACTACGGGATTGGGCTCACGCAGCTGTGGTCGCCAAACATCCACTTCTCCGTCCAGCTGGACACGCCGCTACTGTTCTGGGCCGAGGAGCACCGCCCGGCGGCCTTCCTTTCGGTAAGCACAAGTCTATTTCGTCCGCATCTGGGAGTGGTTTTGCTAACCTTGATTATTTCCCTAATACAGTTTGCGAACCTCGAGACGGGCGATGACAGCGCTGACGTCGAAAATGCTCTCGCTTAGTATGTTACGTTCTTGGGACCCTCTGCTGTATCAACGCTGTATACTGTACTTGTCATCATATCATGAATTCTAATGTTTTGCTATCCTCTCATCTTCATCTTGTCGTGTACCCATGAGCCATAACATCATGATGCGAAGAGGAAGTTTCCTGCCGTACTGCTTCACCCCTGCTCGCTTCATTGCTTACTCTGACAGCAGAGTTTGCGAGGTACGCGTAGCCTGTAGGCTCCGTAAAGGCTATGCTCACCCCGCAGCCGGAGACGCATGGACGTAACGTTCTAGGCCTGGGTGTTAAACGTTGGGTGTTGGGTGGTATGTAGCCTCACTCCGCTCGACGCGCACCACAGTGTAGAAACAATGTTCAAGCGACTGATGTCCGGGCCCCTCAGCTCGGAGCCATTTAATCATACGTAAGGAGCACCATCGCGGGATCATGCCAGCCCGACGAGGTTCCGTCCCATGCGCAATGGAAGAGCCTCGTAGACTTTGTACCTGAATTGCCGAGACGTTCACGGGCGTCGAGAACGGAGAGTGGCGGTAAGCCTAGGCTCTTTCGGAGGCGTCTTCACCGGGAACTGACAAACATTGGCTATGTCCGCCGAGCAATCTCTGTCGGTCGTCGCGTTTCCGGGCCCCGAAATGAGTGAAGATGGATGATGCAGGGTTGGGTGGGTCAACCGTCAAGGCACGAAACCGCATGGGTGGCGGGGAGGACCAAAATTGAATAGACGCGCGGAAGAATCGGGGCTGGATCTCGCGTTTCCATCAGGTTGAGTCGCGCGCGGCAGAACCTGGCAGAACGGTCTTGTCCCCCTCTCCAACGTCGCCAGCGTTGTCGCTCACGACGAGCTCACCCACACCGACACCGACGGTGCTCGGGTCGCGGTCGTGGTCGTGCCCGTACGACGATGCTCCAGTTGCAGCTCGTGCAGGTCAGTCACTTTAACGTTCTATCAGAGCACTCAGCGCTTCGTGATGTCCTCCGTGCTGACACAAGATCCTCTCTCTTTCTCCTCCCATATCCTCCTTGTCCTCCTTCCTCCACATGCCTCCCCCTGGACGCTCTCAACGTCCCCCGTGATGCGCCGCCCACAGTCCGCCTCTTCTGCGTACGCGCCCTCCATGTCTGCCAGCCCTCGCCCGACGAGCCCAGTGAGCTCCTCCGCGCCGGCCGCACGCTCCAACCGCGTCTCTTCGATACAACAGCAGGACTCGGAGTCGGTTCGCAGGCAGAGCAGGCTCCCGGAGCTGCTCACGCGTAAGCGTACCGCCTCAATGCCGCACAGGAAGGATAGGGATGGTCAACCAGGTGAGTAACCTAAAGTTCTGCTTCCCCTGCGTCCGACTCCGCCCTTCGCTTCGCCTCCCCTCTTCTGCGCCCTCGCTGTATGCTGTGTGTCGTGGGAGAACCTTGATTCTGCATCTACGGTCTGCGCCAATCCACCGCCCCCAATCACCCTCCTCGATTCTCGAGCGCAGCGCCTGCTGCCTAACCGTCAAGGCACCGGTTTCCAAGTACAATCCACGTCATTCTTCGCGTCTAAAGCTCGGTCCTGTTCGTCTCTATGCTGAACCGCATATATCGGGTTGCCGGAAGACCGCACCACTCACCTCCGCTCTGCTTCGGAAGTACTAGAAAGGTACTGATTGATGTTGCCAAATACAGATCCATTCACAGCGCATCCAACGGGCTCATCCTCGTTCGTCACCTACGAGTCGACGACATCTCCTAGCGCACCTTCAGTCCACTCCATGTCTACGACATCACCGTCGGCGCCACAACCGAGTCCTCTTACTGGCCTGCCCAAACGCGCGCGTGGGAGTATGCTCCTGACTTCGGGCATCTCGCTGCCGTTCTCGCGCTCGCGCAGCAAATTCAAGAAAAGCCGCCTTCCCCCGCCACCCACGTCGTTTCTATTCTCCGAGGTGATAGAAATATCAGCTCCGCCACCACCACCACCAGAAGAGGATGAAGATCGCGAAAGGCTACGGGACGCAGCGGCCCAGTCAATAGGATTGGACCCTGTATTGCTGGAAGAACGTGAGAGCACGTCGTCGCGTTCACATACGCGCTCGTTCTCCCTGTCACAGGCGCAGTCGGAACGATCCAGGTCGCGATCGCGCTCACGGTCAAGGTCGCGTTCGTTGTCACCAGCAAGGACGCGCGCCCGCGCAGGTTCACGAGCCGGTGTAGAGACGCCCTCGGCAAGCACATTGCCGCCGTTTCCGGCCACACAAACCGCCCTTAGACCCTGGGTGCAGCGGTCTTCGAAAGTGGCGAAGCACCATCCTCCGTCTTCGTTGCTCCTCTTTGCACTTTCCAAACAATGGAAGTCGCGAATACTAGTTCTCACGTCTTCGCCGTCGGCGGCTTCGGGCCCGCGTACACAGACCACTTCTTTCTCGTCGCATCCTCCGCCCTTCTCGAGCCATTCCTTCTCGGCATCCCAGCACGTGGCCCATCTCCATGTCTTCAAATCCGCCAGTGGCGATGACAAGGAGCTCGAGCGTGTGGAGATCGGTGCTGACAGCGTGGTCTTCGTGAACGAGGAGGAGATCGGTGGGCGGCGAGGTGTTGTAAAGGTTGGCGGCGTTGGCGGTGTTGAGATGACACTGTCAATGGTGGACCAGAATGAGGCCCACAACTGGATCACTGCCATCAAGCAAGCGGTGCTCAGCGAAAGGTGGGGTACGTCCTGCTATTCTTAGAGTACAGCCACTCATGTACGGTTGTTTCTCTGACAGATCGGTTCGCGCCGGATTGGGTGCAGTAACGCACAGCAATGGGGTCGAGCCCCGGGGCGACATCGACGTCATGCTGTCTATGCGGGCGCAGGGATTGTTCAATGCGCCTGCGCCGATAGTCACCTCGGGCACTACATCTACGGTGCAGTCGTACAGCAGTGCAACCTCGCCGACCGCCACATCTTCACCTACCCCCTCATTACGATCCGCGTCTCCTCAACACAATCGCCCACCCTCCGTGGCTGTCTCGGCATTGCGAGGTTTATTCGGAGGCAATCGACCACGGTCGCCGTCTGGCGCAACTCTCGACACATCGTTCAGCTCCATATCGGAACACGGCAGCGGCGCCGAGACGCCTCCACTAGAGGACGCGTCATTCGGCCGTGCAGGTACGAGCCTACTCGGCATGTTGCGTTCCAACAGTATATCCAGTGAGCGGCCAATGTCGCCTACGACTCCGATGTCATCCAGTCCAACCACGCCACGGGTTGGGAGTACGGCGCCTGCCGACTTGCCCATACAGATGGGTCTTATTACCCCGACATCCCCGGTGCCTACGCTAGACCAGAAGATCTTGCAGGATAAGGATCGCGAGAGCCTGCTGCCATCCATTTCGCGGAACGGGATCTCTGGCCTAGGCTTGACTGGCGTGAATGGACATGCCAATGGGGCCGTGTTACGATTCAACGGCAGCTCCGGACTGCCTCCGTTCGGCGGCTCGCCATCACTTCATCCCCCACCACGACGAAGAGCATGGACCGCCAGTGGACCGCCGCCGACCAGCCGGATGAGTAGTGAGCGCAACGGATTCTCGTACACTCATGGCAACGCCAGTGCTGCGGAAACCCTCGGAGTCAGACACAACGGCAGCGCGTTCTTGTCGCCGACGGCGTCTTCCCCCGCGTCTGCCTCCGCGTCGCCTTCGCCGGCATCCCCGTCCTCGACTTCTAGCCCCAAGCTCACACCCAGCCCAAGTCTCAGCCCAAGTACTACCGCGAGTGCAAATGGTGTGGGTTCGCCCGGGTCGCACCGTGCATCGCAGGATGGGCGTCCGCGGTCGTCATGGTCATCGGTGTCTTCGCTCGGATCGAACGAGCAGCCCCAGCAGCACGTACCACGGACGTCGTTCGACTTCGGACCGAAGCGCTGGTCACGCCAGGCAATGCTCCCGAAGCGGTCGACTCCTCCGAGCGGGCCGCCTCCCGCCACACCTCCGTCTGCTCCCACACCTCTGCCCTCGTCGCCAGGCCGTTCGTCACTGCACCAGCAACAACGGCATCCGTACGCAGCGGACACCCCGCCAAGTCGCTCGCCATCGCAGCGCTCGGCGCACAGTCCGCAGAGCATTATGTCCAGCTTTCAGAACTTCTCAAAGCGGGCGTCGGGCTCGTCGGCGCGCAGTGACAGCACGGTCAGTACGACGCAGAGTCGTACCGGGAGCAGTTTCTTGGGAAACACCCTAGCGCCACCTCAGCATTCCCCGTCGCACGTGAGACCGAGATCGTCGCATCGAGTCTCCTCGCCACCTCCCCAGCGGCCGGTACCCAGCATGGCACTGCCACCGACACCCAGACCCAATATCGACGAGTTTGGGCAGAGCGAGCTCCAGATGCTGCCGCCACCCGAGGCCCCGCGCACGGTTCGGGCCTCTGGGTACCCCTCGCGCCCGCCACATTCCGCCCCTGCGATGAAGACGACTTTCAAGGAGACTTTCACGCTGCGGGCTGGCCGCTTCTCCCTGATACCGCCGACGTCGCCGCCATCGTCTGCGCTTCCACCGCGACCAGACGAGGTACAGGTGCCAAGTAGTCCGCGCCTCTCGCACTCACATCGCCGTAGTATGAGCAACGGCAGCCCCGTGCTTCCCACTATCCCTGCGTCGCCCATCCCACCCGACCCTCCACAATCCCCATTCAACGAGGCTCCTCCCCCGCCGATCGCTCAGCAGTCTACGTCTGCGTCCACATCTACGTCGTCCTCCCTCACCTCCCGCCCCACTCTCCTCATCAAGCGCCGCCTACGCATGCTCAGCGCGCCCTCCCCCGTGCCACCTCCCTCGAACCCGCTGCCCCAGCCTCCCTCCCCGGCGCCCTCGACGATCAATCCGTACTCCCTCCCTCCAACGCCTATCGGCGAGCCGATCATCACGTTCCAAAACGACCCGAGCTTCTTCCTCATGCTGTCGACGCCGCCGCAGACGCCCCTGTCCCCCACACTGGACATGCGCACGCGCGTGCTGCCCCCGCCCCCAGAGCAGTCGCCGGACATGCGCGGGATTACGTCACTCTCGCCGCCACCCCGGCGCGGGTCGAAGCAGATCTCCGTGCAGTACGAGGACGTCGAGGACGAGGACGAGCGCGCGGGCGTGCGGCAGAGCATCGACGACGGCGCCGGGGACTCGCCGATCCGCAAGCCGCTTTCACTTTCGCCGCACCTTTCACCGCACCAGTCGGTCGCGTCGCTGGAAGACGCGTGTATATAGATTCCGTCTTTCGCTATCGCTTTCGTCGTTCGCTTCGCTTCGTCTCACTCTATACTTGAACCCCCTCCGCACTCCTCAATCCCCGTACCCCCTACACCCCCCTCCACACTCACGCTCTCTTACTTGCCGCGAGGCCCCATTCACGCTCTGGGCGGTGCGCCGCCATGCTGCTGTGTGCCCCCTCGTGCTTTCGTGTACCATGTCATGCTCCTTTACGCTTTACGCTTGACGTTCTTCGACGACGTTCGCGGGCCGCTCGGAATCCTGCACATATATACTCCCATCCACAGCCAACCTTACAGTACCTATTGTCGTTCTGCGCTATCTCCCCCGTCTCTTGTCTCTTACTCACGGTGTCTGTTTTGCTGGGCGCGTACCCCCTCTGACATGGTTGGCATCTGTACTATATTCATGTTATACTCTTGGAATCATTATAGTTGCTCGTTGCTTGTTACACGCTGTTTGAGAAGCGACCGAAAAGGGGACACGCCGGGAGGTTGAAAACCACCCAAAATGAGCTGCAATAAATGTGTGACCGCTAATGATCCCAGGTCTAGGTGCATTAAGATGAAGCGTACAACATAAATTATAACTTGACTCCGGTATGTATACTGGCGATGCCGCCCCAGAGGTCCGTCCAGGTACCGCCCTTGCCCTCATGCATGCCGCCCGTCGTGAACCCGGCGTCTGCGATCATCTTCGCAAACTCCGGCTGCGGCGGGAACTTGCGGATGCTCTCGACGAGGTACTGGTACGACTCGCGGTCGCCAGCGAGAATAGTGCCAAGGAGCGGGATAACCGAGAACGAGTATTGGTCGTACAGGCTGGGGAGAGACACGGTGAGCTGGCGGGCGACTGGGGACGGGGCACAGCGGAGGATAGGGGACTTACGTGCCAAATAGCGGGTTGTTTACCCGGCTGAACTCGAGGCATGCAAAGGTGCCTCCGGGCTTGAGCACGCGGTAGGCCTCCTTGAGCACGTCGGGGACGGAGGTGCAGTTCCGGATGCCGAAGGCGATGGTGTACAGGTCGTACGTGTTCGAGGGGAACTCCTCCTCGGGCATGGCTTGCGCGTTCGCCTGCTTGAACGCGATTTGAGGAGCTAGATTTGGCAACAGCCAAAACGTTAGCGTCGCGTTCATCTCGGAATACGAGAGTTACAGGCGAATGAGGAGAGTGAACGCACTATTGTGGTACATGGTCTTCTTAAACCGCTTGAACCCCTCCTTCAGCATCTCCCCGTTAATGTCGACGACGTCCACGCTCGTCTCCCGGTCTGCGTGCTTCTCGCGCGCGTAGTCGAGTATCCTGAGCGCAATGTCGCCCGTGCCGCCCGCGACGTCGATGCACCGTTTGGCGCCACGCGCGCCGGGCTGCAGACGCGCCACGAACTCGTCCTTCCAGAGCCGGTGCACGCCGAGGGACATGGCGTCGTTCATGACGTCGTACGAGGACGCGACGCTCTCGAATACGTTGCGGACGAGGTCCTCCTTCTGCCCCTCCGGCACGGTCTTGAACCCAAAGTGGGTCGTGCGCGCACCCTGCGACTGGCTGCTGCTCAGGTTCGAGCCAACGTTGGGCGTTGAACCTGCTGCGCTCGAGGACGAGCTCGTTGACGGAGCATGCTGGTGGTTATGCCGGGAGAGGGGGCTAAGGCGGACGGGAGCTTTTGGTACGAGAGGCCTCAGCTGGCGGAGACTCCGGTGCATGGTGAGCGGTCTTGGGTGTGAGCGTGCCGGGGGTCCGGTAGGTATGCACGATCGGGGAGAGCCGGGCCCCCGGAAACCTTGTGTATGCATAGAATTTCTCCAAACGGAATTAGCGGGCGTCTACAACGCTCATCCTCTTCCTCTCAGCCACTTTCTCCTCTGCCCCTCGTCTCCTCCTCTCTGCCATGGCCCCCACTGCTCTCGACAAAGGAAAAGCGCGTGCGCGTGCAGAGGATGTTGAAAAAGACGTTGCACCTGTCAACACGCGCGCGACCTCGCCTTCTGCCCGCTCAAGCTCCTCAGGCTCCGACACAGACAGTGACTCCTCAGACTCGGACTCGGATACTTCTGGCTCTGATTCCGACTCGGACTCTGAAGATGATGTGACGCAAGAGTTCTTAGAGTATCTGCTTGCCCAGGCCAGGCGTAATGCCTCCCAGGCCTCCGCGCAGCAAGCCGCGAGCAAAAGCGGCGAGGAGGAATTCATTCAGTTGGACTCTGACGATGAGGGTGAAGGCAAAAAACAGCTGTACGTCCTACCCACGCACGTCATCCCATTCATCTGCGTATTGAACTCGTACCCCGCGCATGCTGCTGCCCAGGCCATTACCCGCACTAGACACCGGCTCGCTACCCGCCCCGTACATCACGCTCTCAGAGGACCGCGTCGCCGGCCCCTCCAAGCTGCGCGACCCAGACGTCGAGCAGGCCCAGCGCGCCGCGTCCTCCATATCCGCGCCCGCAGTGCCCGCGCCGCCGCCAGAAGTGACGGCGGACGGGAAACGGCTCACGAAGAAGGAGGCGAAGCAGGTGCGTGCCCCGCCCCCGCTGCCCCCTGCAGCCCCCCTCTCACGCGTTCATCTCCGCCCCTCCCCGCCTCCGCGCATCACCTCCCTCGATCGGCCCATCTCAATCTCGACACTGCAATTATGACGCCACGCCGCCCGCTAACGTCTCCCCGGACGCGCGTGCAGATGATGAAAAACAAGACCGCGGGCCCGGCGTGGTTCGACCTCCCCGCGCCTGCGGAGGCGGACCTGCCCCGGCTCTACCGCGAGGTCGAGGCGCTCCGGCTGCACAAGCAGCTCGACCCGAAGCAGTTCTACCGCAAGGAGCCTGGGGAGGGCAAGGGCATCAAGGGCCTCCCAAAACACTTCGCGGTGCGTCACTATTCCCTCCCCTCCTCCTCCCAACCCCCTTCCCGTCCTTCTTCATCTCCGCGAGATCGCTGAGACTGAGACGGCTGCGGGCAGATTGGCAAGATCGTCGCGACGCCGAATCCGTTCGGGAAGGCGAGCGCGGACAGCCTGCCGCGCGCGAGCCGGAAACGCACGCTCGTGGACGAGCTGGTGGACGACGCGGAGGCGAAGAGCTACGCAAAGAAGAAGTTCAGAGAGCTGCAAAGCGTGCGGGGCGCCCGCGGACGGGGCACCCTCGCGGCGAAGAAGGCGTTGCGGAAACCCAAGTGGTAGTTGCCGGATGTACCATGCCTATTACCATTACCCTGCACGCTGCATGTACCGGATGCTTTGCTTCTAGACTGTATTCTGAGGAGCCAGAAGTTGCATGTGCAGCCCTTCGCTGCACCATTACGACCTCTCCTGACATTTATCGTGAAATCTCCGAAATCACACGTACATCTCGTACAATCACCGACGAAGACAGCAAAGGGACCCTTTTGTTGGTTGCACGTACTAGTACAATGGTGTGCGGTACAGAGAGCAAGACGGATACGAGAGCGGAGAACAAGTGAGCGCACGAATGAACGCGACGAACGTCCGAGCCCGAGGCAGGAACGGTGGAAAGAAGGGCGCGCAGCACGGTTAAACGTACAGCGATGCCCGCGGTGAGACAGGAAGGGGGTGAGAGGAGTATCGGGATGACCAATGTCAGTACAAGAGATGGTCCCGACAGAGGCGTAGAAATGGGTGCTGGGGAGTACATGGGGAAGGCCGGGTCAGTGGGTTTTGAAGGTCGGGAACCTGAAAACATGGAAAGAGAGTGCGAGGGGTAAGCCGCTGGAACGAGTCGCAGTTATGTCGCCTACTCCTCCATCGGCTCTGGGGACCGCGCATCCCGCCTCGGCGGATTGCGAGGCGGGGGTGGAGGCGGCGACGAAGCGTCCCCCTCCCCGTCCCGATCCCTGTCCCTGTCCCGCCCTTCAGCTCCTTCATGCCCTACATACGCATACCCCTCGCCCGCGACCCGCTGCGCAGACGCGCGTCTCGGCAGCCCCGGCCGCTCATGGTGGCCCAGCGACGAGCGCGTGGCAGACGTGCCCGCGGGGAGCGACACCCGCGCACTCCGTGGCGACCACGGCCGATTCCAGCTGCCGCCACTCCCACCCGCGCCGCTGACCGGGGCCGCGGACGGCGGCGGGGGCAGCGCGCGCCCCCCAAGCTCGCGTTCGCGCTCGCGCCCCGGCGTGCGGTGCACGGGCGTCGGGTCGGACACGACGGGTGCGCGAGGGTCGAGGCGGATCGCGGACACCGAGAGGCGGCGGCCGACGTCAAAGGGCACGGGCGAGCCCGTTTGCGACCCAGGGAAGCTCCTGCTCTCGCGCTCGCGCTCGAGCTGCGCAGGCGAGAGCGCGCGGCGCACGACCGCACCCGGGCCATCCCCTGCGGATGGGGGGAACTGGTACGACTCCGGGACGCCGTTCGCCTTTGTCTTCCCTTTCGCCGCGCCCATGTTCGGGCTGTAGGTCTGCCCGTGGCCGTGCCCGGTGGATGTCGTGCGCACGAGCCCCGAGGTTGCCGCCGACCCGCTTGCGACGTGGTGTAGCGCATGCTCGAGCTCATCGACCCGCCGCTGCAGGCCGAACATCTCGTTGCGCACAGGCGTCATGTGGCGCTCGACAGCGGCCGCTACAACCTCGTCGAGGTGCTCCTGTTGGCGCTGGAGCTGCGTGGCAAGCGCCTGGCTCTTCTGGAGCTGCTCGCCGAGCCAGCCCTTCAGAGTACGCGCGTCCGCGAGCGCGTCGTAGAACATCTCGAACGGCGCAAGGAACGCGGCCTTCTCGCCCGCATACCCCGGCGCGTGCAGCGCCGCAGGCGTCGGCGGCACGAGCGTCGTCGCGATAGGCACGGTCGCGGTCGGTGGGGAGCGTGCAGCTGCTGCTGCCGCCGTGGTAGAAATCGAGCCAACCGTAGGCGTGAGGATGGATGCCGTAGGCGGGTGCCGCGCCATGCTGAGGCGCGTGGGCGTGGGTGGGACGCGGCTCGCGGTCATCCGCTGCGTGCTCTGTCCTGGCCCGAGCACTGGTGGGAGGCTGGGGAGCATCATGTTTCCGAATCGGCCGGTCATGCCCTGCGTTGCACCTGCGCGGGGGATGGGTGGGGCGCTCTGTATAGACGGCTGCAGGCGGTCCCCTGCTGCGTCCCGCGGGCTAATCATAATGTCCGCAGGCTTGCTTTTCCCAAGCTGCCGCGTTGCGCGCCGTCGAGCGAAGCTGATCGGAGGAGCGGGCAGCGCATGCTGGTGCGAACCGCCCGTGTGCTGCTCTTGCATGGAGATATGCGGCGGTGGGGGATGCAGCATCGGCGGGGCCGGGCCGTGCTGGGAATGGTGTGGTGGGGGTGGGCTGGACTGGCGGGCGAGGGGAGAAACACCGCGGTTAGAAGGTGCGTTCGCGGAGAGTGCAACGCTCGACCGGCGGGGACCGCTAGTAATGGGGCTGCGCCCCCCGGTCCGCGCGGGAGCGTGTGCCTTCGCCGAGGGCTGGCGTTCGTCAGATGGAGCCTGATGAGGATGAGCAGGCGGCGCGGGAGGGGCACTGACTGGGGGTGCGAGGCCTGCGGTGCTGCCGCGGCGCTGCTCGATGAGCTCCTTCTGCTGCTGCTTGATGGAGAGCATGGAGCGGACCTGCTCGATCGCGGCAGCGTCGTCGCGGGGTATGGGGAGGCCCATGACCACGGGCGAGATCGATGTGTTGGGATCTGTCGGGGGCGGAGGCCTGACGTCCGTGTTGATTGGGTGCGAGATGCCGCTTATCGTCACGCGGCGTTTCTTGCTGGGGGACGGGCGTGCCGCGGAGGGGGCGGGGGCGGGCGCCGCGGTGGTGGGGGCGGCGTCGGCGGGTTGTGAGTGTGCCGATGGCTGGTTGGCGGGAGGCGCAGTGCGGGAGGTGGGGGAAGGGAGGGCATCGTACTCGGCCTCTTCTTTGATTCTGACGCTCTTGGGCGAACGACGTTCGCTGCGGGGGGCACGTTAGGGCTCGGGCGCGTGCATGATGCGGTCGAGCGGGATGTACGTACTCTGAACCCGAACTCTGGTCGCCATCCGCCTGTGCGTGTGCGTCTGGATGGGCGCGCTTGCGGGAAGACTGGCGGGAGGAGTCAGACATCGCAGGGAGGTGGGAGCGGTCGTCGTGGACGGAGGGAGACCGGCCGTGGGTGTCGAAGGGGGAAGCGCGGGGGTGGATGGGAGGGAGGGCATTGTTGGCGTCCGAGATCCTGTTGAGGGAAGGAGCGCCGAAGGCCTGAGCAAAGGAGGGCAAGGACTGCGGGGGCTGGGTCGCCATGATATCACACTCTACAGTGGCACAACAACGCTCGAGACAGAGGAGAACACGGAGAAGAGGGTGCTCGGCGGGGACGCAGCGCAAGGCGCATGCGGAGGCCCGGAGAGAGGGCGGGAGGAGAAAGGGAGGAGGAGGAGGAGGGCAAAGGAGAGCGGCGGATGGAGGACAAGGAGGGACGATCAGAGCTGTCGACTGTTGATCAACCGAGCACAACACCGTCCAACGCTCCCCCAATCATCCTCGTCCTCGCTTATCCTCTCACATTCCAGCCACAAATCCTATCGACGCACGCCCGACCACAGCTGTGCTCATTTAACTGCCATTGCCTGGGCATGCGCTCGCACCTCCTCACTGCCCACCGTTGTGCGCTCGCACCTCCTCCGCAGTGTTCCTCGCCGGACGAACAGCCGCGGCCGGGGGGTCGCATGCAGTGCGCAGACGGGAACGCGGTGTCGCAGCCACGTCCACGTCCATGTCCCCATCCTGCTCGTGCCCATCGCGTCATGCACGCACATCCGTCTGCCCATCCCCGGCGAGCCCGCGCGTTCTGCACGCCCTCGCGTCTTCCCAAACGCACATCGATCCCACACCGCCGTCCAGCTCTAATTAACCATCTGCTTTATTCAATATCCCAATCTGACGTGCGCCCCTCCGCTCCGCCCGCAGGTCCGGGTCCCGGCCCTGTGCAGCCTGCCCGTTCCGCAGGGGTTGGATGTGTGGGAGACTGTGGGACCCGCCATCCGCCTCGGCCAACTCTGTTTTATTGCCGTCCGAAACGGGCTACAACAGCGTGTCCTTACAAGGTGCTCCCTGCCCGACAGAACAGCTCGCCGCAATATTCCCCAGCCACGAGGCCCCGCCTACACGCCCCGGCCTCGATCCAACTCGCCAACACACCCACCCTCGCGCCCTTCCCGCGCCTCGAGGTTCTCGCCCTCCCCACGCTCGACCTCCCAACGTCCATCTCCCGCAACGTGGGGGCCCCGTCATGTAACCCCTTCGAGCACTGCTGCCGTCATACCCACCGTCGAGGCGTACGGACGCACCGCGAAGCCCGCTGCGCTGCTCTGATGCCCGGCCTGTGCGTCCTCCGTCCTAACCTTCCGCCGCTTTCTATCTATCCTCGCCATCCGCGGATGATATCCCCTCCATCTCCACCTTGTTCTTCTACGCGATCATCCACTCATCGCGTATCGATCTCAGTTCACGCACTCTACTAACGCAGCACCTGATCCATCAGCCGCAACTTAGATGCTCAAGCCGTCCGAACCTTGTACTCGCGCCGCCGCGCGGGATCCCTGCGAGGGCCCATAGCGCCGTTACCTCCGGCGCGCCTCCCCGGCCCAGGAGCACTTCGCCCTGCCCCATACGCTCGCGACGCCCTTCTAGCGTGCGCTCCTTTGCGCGAGAAGCCCCCCAACCCTCCCATGCACGCCTCCCGCACCCGGGAAGTCGCGCCTCGGGCTTCGGACACGTAAACGCACCGTCCCGCGCGCGCCCCCCGCGTTCGCCCCCTCCGAGCCGAGGCGAATCGCGGCGAGCTGGTATGCGCCTAGCCTATCCGCGCTGCTGCCAAACTGACAGCCCTTCCCCGCCTCGGGCGCGCCGCGAGCTCCGCAGACAGGCCGCTAGCCGACGTGCGCCTCCCACGTCCGACCTCCTCCGTCCCGCCAACGTGCGGCCGTGGCAAGCTGTGCTCGATATCCGCCCTATGAGCAGCCCCGGACCAGGACGCATTAATGCTGCCCTCCTCTATAAAGCGGCCGCCGGGCGTGCGTGCGTGGGACGGACGCGCACTGCGCAGCACCCGTGGTGGGCTGGGAGAGCGCACGGAGCAGGTCCGCCAGGGCGTTCGCACGTCGCTGTCCTCCTTCATCCCGATGCGGCGCGCTGGCCCGCCGCGTGCCCGCTGCGTACGTGAGCCCCAGCCCGAGTGCAAGGCCGCAGGAAAACGTCCTTACGTCCCCCAGCCCCAGGGCACCGATCGGACCCGCTATCGCCGTCAGCTGTGCGGGCCCATCCGTTCATCCAGCCGCCATTGGTGCGTATTCCTAATTATGGGCGCGTTGTATCTTTGGCTTTGGCTTACGTCTAGGAGCGTGCTGGGGCTGCGCCGTGCAGGTCGCCGGCGTGCGTGCCTGGGTGGCCTTGTTCTGAGCATGGTAGGTGGGACCGAGCAAGTGTGATGAACATATCGGACGCCGTCTGGCGATGTTGTGGTATTATTGACCGCAGCCTGGGGCCTATTTCTGCTGCCCCAGGTATCCGGCCTCTTGGGCTGGCTTATAGCCTAGGTTGCCGCCGGGACAACAGGCGTAGGTAGCGGTCGGCGCGTGCCCGAATCCCGCTGGAACATCGTGGTTCGTCCGGACTCCCATCCTGGAACAAGGCGTTTTGGCCCCGTGCACCTGCGGGTGCGGACCAGGACGTACGGTCTAATGCAGCCCCGCTATGCGGACGCATCGCACAGAAACAATTAGTGTTTTGTTCTACTGCTGATGACCTGTTGACCGGTATAATCCGTGTCGACACAGTACCGAGGCTGAGTTGTATCTTCAACTCCTTGTTCTCGACCAACATGATATCAGACGTCGAGGAGCAAAAAAAAATGCGCACACTGTACAAGAGTGTGTAACGATACATATACATTAAGCACGGTCTTCCTGTACATACGCAATGTCTGGTCACGAACAACTACCACAGCTCCGTCCGTCCGACGGCCCCTTCTGTAGCACCGCCGCGATGTTATGGCAACCGCAGGACCCACAAGATATAATCAAGACCAACAGCAATTGACCAAATACCAAGGAACAGTCTGGAATGATCTATGGCGCAAGAAACCGAGCCAAACCGCCCTGAGCGCATGCACCACTCGGGGGGAAAGAACAGACGGCAACGGGTGCAGACTCGCACTGAAACCAGCAGCGCTGCCCTGGTAGCCCAGCACAAGAAACCAGGTACATTGCCCAATGCCGAGTGGCCTGTCCACGGAGGGGGAAACGCCGCAACCTGCCGCGGCGCATCCCAAACCTTCGCCCCAAAAGAGAGCCTCCAAAAAGCATACGGACGCTTTTCAGCCACCGTGCCTGGGCGATCGCCCCGTCGTCGCGCGTTCGAGACTGCGCGCATCCGCCATTTTGTGTGCCGTCCACACCGCCTCCGCCGCGTTGACGTCGTCAACCCATCGCCAGGCCCCGCATAAACCCGCAGGCCTCAGACAGACGCGTTCGCGAAGCAGCGCAGGCGTTTTCGCAAGGCACCCCCGTCTGCGTCGACCCTCGAGGCACGCCGCCGCACCCGCGGAGACTCAGAACCCTAACGTCGAATCCAGCGAGCGTTGCCAGGGGCGCACGGCGACGGCAGCAGACCCACCTCAGGGCGCCGCGGGCTTCCGCTTCTTGCGCACTTGCAGCACCGTCACCGGCGCGCCGCCCGATGCCCCAGCCACGCCCTGTGCGGCCCCAGCACCCTTCGCGTCCTCGGGCCCGCCCGTGGCGGCTGGGCGCGGCGCGAGCGGCGGGTTGCGCACATCGATGCTCCCGTAGATGTACGACGTGTACGTCTCGAGCGAGGCGACCGGCTCGGGGAAGGGGTTGGGCGAGATCTCGGGGACCGCGTCTCCGCCCCTGGGGGCGCGCAGGTGCGACCGATTCGGGGGAGGGGTGCGCGGGACGTCGAGCGTCGCGGGGCCGGGCTCGGGGGTGCGCGGGCGCTCTGGTTCGTCTTCGGCGGCTGGGGCTGTGGAGGCGGCAGCGGCGGCGGGCGCAGGGAGGACGGGGGCGTCGTCCTCGCAGAGGCCTTTGATCGCACTCTCGAGCGTCTCCGTGGCGCGCACCGCGCGCTCGCTCGTGGAGAACTCGTGGTGGTTCATGAGCGTCGAGACGATGCGGCGCACCATGCGCGGCGCGAGCTGTCCGGGCTGGGGCGCGAGCGGAGACGGCTGGGACCCCTTCTCTGCGGACGCGGCGGGCGGGGGCGTGGAGATGCCCATGGCGAAGAACCCGGTGACTGCACCCGCGACGCATTCCTGCCGGAACGACATGCGTTCCCAGAACTCGTCCGCGGAGACCTGCGCGAGCTCGCCCGTGGGGTAGTTTTTCTCGTCTTTGCTCTTCTCCTTCTCCCTTTCTTTCTCCTCCTCCTCTTTGTCTTTGTCTTTTGCGGCCTTCGCTTCTCCGTGCGCCCGAGAGCCGGTAAGTGCGCGCGGCCGTTTCCGTTCGGGCGAGCGCACGCCCTCAGAGTTCGTGATGAGCGCAATTTCATCTATAAACCGCGACTTCGGGTCGTCGTCGAACCACGGGATATAATGCCCCAGATGAGGCGGTTCCTCCCCATCTTGACTCCCCGGGCACGGCAAAGGTATATCTGTTTGCGCATACGGATGTCCGTACGACCACTGCACTGTCCCAGCAGCCTCTTCCGCCACAGCTGCGCGCCCCAGAGTATGCGTCGCCTCAAGTTCCCCATACCCAGGCAGAATATAGTGCAACCTGACTGTCCCGCTGCCCTTCAAGCGCCGCTCAACGTCCGCGGCGACCTCGCCGAATATACGCCGCCACCATGCACAGAGCTTGACGTCCGACAGTGGCCGCTTGCCCAGATAGTCCGCCGAGTTCGGGAAGAGGTACTGGCCTTGCGCGCGCGCGAAGAGCTGCACCCAAAGGTGGCGCACCGCGATCGGGCGCGTCGCGGGGTCGGCGTAGTAAAGCAGGAATGCACGCACGAGCGCGGCCGTCGGCGAGGGGGCGGCGGCATGCCCAGAGGAGTCGACCTTGGAGACGTAGAGCACACCACAGGACGTGGCGGGGATGTTATAGACTGACGCCTCGAGCGCGGTGACAAGTACACGGGGCGCGTCGGGCGTTGCCTGCTCTGAGAGGAGGATGAAGACATCTTGGAGGTAGGCCCGGGGTCGCGGGCGGACATACGGGAAGAGACCATTATGCTTGCGCGGCGAGGACGTAAGGACGTGGACGTGAAAGGTGCGCGTCCCCGGCAGGTCCGCCAAGGCAGCCAACAACTTGTCGCGCAGACTCATCGTATTGAAAGCTCAGAGTGGTGTTCTGGAGGGAGGCTCAAGGCATGGAGAGGAGGAGGAAGGGGTACAGGAGGGCGCAGCGAGGAAGGGCGTGCAGCGTTCATCGCCGTTTCTCACAACATTCCCAGACAGAGCGCCGGCGTGACGCCCGTTGTGGCGTTCGATGCACGCGACGCCGAATTTGCCACAATACTGCCAGTTCCAATGCACGTCTCACTCTTCCTCTTTCACCAGCGCGACATCGAGGAAGATGTTTGTTTGCAGGCACATTCACAGCTATTCACAGCAAATGGCGACGAGCTAACGACTGACTACGTAGGGAAACAGCGATTAAGCATCCCCGGTCGTTCGCAGCCAGAGCGGAGGCCCACAGCCAGGGCACCGTTCAGATGCATCCATCTGAAATAGTCTTGTCAGCCAGATGTTTTCCATGGTCTAGAGAAGAAACGTACTCGGTACAGCCTTGCCAGCGGCATTCACTTGCGCCTTGAGTGCGCTGTTGCCGCAAAGGATCCCGCGAACAAACGCCTCCGCAACCACGTTCGCACCAGTCGGCGAGGTGTGCGTGTGGTCGATCGGGTAGTACGTGTTGACGGTGGTCTCACCGAGCGCCTGTAGTAGACCCGTGAGTCCATACCCACATCCCACGAAGCGGAGATGAACTCACGTCATATGCCTGCGCAACGTAGGCAAAGTGGTCGACGTACGCCGCCGATGTGTTCTTTGCCACGTCCGAAGCGTACCCCACAAAGCGCGACGGGGCGCCGATTTTGCTGCCAGACCAGATGTTGTCGGGCGTCTGCGAGGAGACGATGGGGATCGCACCTGGTCATGAACGCGGTTAGTGTCTTATATCATTTGTTACCACCTAAAAGACTCACCCTTTGCCTGCAGCGACCTCACCGCGTTCGTGATGTAGTAGTTAAACGAGTGGATCGTGATGGCATTCCCGCTGCAACGTCTCCGTCAGATGCCTGGCCGACCCCAAGCAAACAGTACCTCGCGCACCTCGCGTCGTGGACGACGGCCGTGTCCGAGTAGCCGTCGGTGCCCGTGTCCTGGCGCCCGTTGTCCGGTCCTGAACCCGCAGAGCCATCGTTGTGCCCGAACTCAATGACCACGAAGTCACCCGGCGCGACCGCGTTGATTATGCTGGCGAAGCGGCCCTCGTCGGTGAACGAGCGTGCTGAGCGTCCGCCAATGGCGTTGTTCGTCACGGGGATGTTGAGGAACTGCCCGAGGTACACTCCCCAGCCTACGGACAATTTAGCGCGGTGGGCTCGCAATATTCGCGGTGTAGCACGCACCTGCGGTTCCGGTACCACTGCCACCACCAGTGACGGCCATCGTCGAGTCGCCCGCAAGGAAGACCTGAGCAGCATCCGCCTGCTGCGTCAATGCGACCAGAGCGCCGAGGACGAAGGTGGTGAGGTGGCTGAGAGACGGCATCGTGCTGATACTTGCTGGACCTCCTTCATCAACCCGCACTTATATACCAGCGGTCGGTAGTTGTGAAGTGCGCATCATCGGCCCTTGGCGCGCGTGGTGCGCGTCCTCAGTTGACCTCGAAGAATCGACGACGACGGGCCGACGGTTAGGGAGTACCGGCGGGTAGGTCATGCCCGTCGCGCACGGCTCCGACCCGTCTCTCACCGCGTGCTGGCGGCCACAACGAGGCGCAGGTACCCACAAAGAAGCACTTAGCCTTTCGCGCGCCATAAGCCTGGTGCTTCCGAACATATGGCACTGGGGGAGCCTAGAGTCACACGCGGCATCATAAGGCAAATACTCGCCTTATATGTAGCAGCCGACGGCGCATGGCGCGCGCGTCATCGGGCCTGGGCTCGCGTGCTCGCCCCCATTGCCCTCGAAGTAACGACGACGACGCGCCGACGATGGGTGGGGATACCGGCGGGTGTGGTCATGCGGTCTCTGTTACTATGAAAAGTACAGACATCAGTAGTTCTACTCCGACATTCTGACGTCGCGGGGTATGCCCATATACAGCACAAGCATAGGAAGGCAGCACGGGGGAGGTCACACTTCGGGAGAGCTGGAGGACACGGAGCCGTTGTCCTTGATCGGGGCCATAGGCTGCTTCGAGGCACCGCGTCGACCTGTCTGCTGGCCATTCGGTTAGCCATCATCCAGAGGTTTCGAACGTCACGCGCAAGGAGAGCGTGGGATGCTCACCTGTCGAGGGTGGTAGCTGCTGTACTCGGTGATGGTCTCAATTTGTACGGCAACGCCGCCCGTCAACGTGGGTGACTTGCGATCCTGTGAAATCAGCCCCGCTGCACGCCGACTGCCCTAGTGCGCAAAGGAGCATACCTTTGGTGTGTTCGACGCGCTGAACGATTGCTGGAACGAACGCCCATGCCCAACGTGGTTGAGCTGCACCCCGGCCTTTGTGACCTTCTCGCGAAGCCTGTCGCGGCTGTTCAAGCTGTGCGAGGGGTCAGCATTGGTCTGACCCAAATCACTGACGGTAGCACAGGCGAGACGTACAGCGCTAGGAAGGAGTTCACATAGCCTGGGGAGAACATTAGCGGTAACGTAGAGAGATACTGGAGAACGAGAGCCTACATTTGCCCATGATCCAGAAGAAGCCCAACCAAACGAAGTTCGTAGGCATCGCGCCGAACTAGGGGAGGGTAAGACGTTGAGGTCCTTCATCTTTAGCAGAAGGAACGAAGACGTACAGAAATAACGGAGATGGTTCCAATGATGCTGTGGGTATATGAGCGCCCGAGTCGTTTGAAAAGCCAATGTCCTCGGTGACATACCTGGTAGCCAGTCCGGTATTGATGCTATACAACATGAGCGTCGTGACGAGGGAGTCCGTCCTGTGAGTGAAAGCCGACGGTCAACTTTCTGAATTTACTGAGACGTAGAATGAGTTGAGCGCACTTCTTGAGCCCGGTGCGCTTCCTGTACAGGTAGTAGCACATCGCGCCCGCGATGAGGATATCGGCGGCAGCCGCAGCGCCGAGGCCGAGGCATGTCACCCACTGCAATCATCGTGAGCCTCGTCATCGCCCACCTAGTGAGAGTAGTGCTGCTCACCGTCAAGCTCTTAAACTTCGAGAAACGACCGAGAATAAAGCTGCGTAACCTCAGAATCGAACGGTTAAGTACGAGAAACAAAGACGTACGATTGTGCGGTGAAGACTACGGAACGGCGGGTCAGTAATTGATTCGGGTATCAAGGACTTAAGTCTCACCAACTCCGAGCCCTGTGCACGTGAGAAAATAGAAACCAGAAATCAGACGACCATGTACGGGGCAGGCTCGGGGAGAAGCACAAACCGAAGTGCAACGCGGCGAGGACGAGCTAATGGATCCGTCAGAACAAACCGTGCCGACGGTGATGCCAATACACTCACGATGACCCCAGTGATGAGCCAATTGTGGCTCACTAGAACCCCGGTGGTGAGAAGACATGCGGGACAGAGTATATCAGAAGGTTACTCACTCATCCACACGCGGCGGGCGAAGAAGCTGCGGGGAAGGTCAGGCACAGGGACAATTGGGGAAATGCGCAGCAGCTCACACTTCGACGATGAGGCCGATGAGACCCTGCGGTGGAATGTCAGGATGCTCCTCGGAAGACAACTTTAACGAAATGGCTGCTCACATTGCAATCTGTTTGAAGCTGGGTGTGCGGGTGGTTGAGCAGACGATGCACATCACCGAGAGAAGTGAAGACGTACGGCCATGCTCCTACATTATAATGAGTAAGACACATGGAAGGAAGGGTACAGGTAGGACGCACCATGTCGTCTTGTCCAAGTTATCGGCATCGGTGAAATTTGTGATGAGATACCTAGAGAGTTGAGCGTTATTAACGTCCGCGTGTAGGAGCACTGCGTTCATGATTACCAGTAGATTGTCCGGGTGCAGAGAACGAGGTGCAATGCATCCAGAACTCTGCGTGTTTTGTGTGAGCGAGTGGCGGTAAGGGCCAATTGCAGGACACGCACGTCAGGATTATAACCTGGAGTTCAGGTGTCGTGAGTGATAAGTCCGGCTCATGAGGGTGGTGCACGCACGAGCGACTTGACAATCCTGCTGTCCTCATTGTAGTTACTGCAGCAGGGTCAGAGGCAGCCAAAGGGGATGAACCAAGCTGATTTACCCGAAGTAGGTAAACCTGGATCGGGGTAGGTGATCAGTATACCGCGAGGTGACGAAGGAGTTGCGACGTACGTCTGCAGAATGGTTATCCCAAACAAACTACGGTCGGATTCCGAAACGTTCAGCCTTGAAGTACCACTTCAACGCAAGGATTGGCACACGTACACTGCACCGACGATGAGGCCAATGAGGGCAGCCCCGAACGTGTTATCGAGGGATTCCATCTTCGCCGATGTGCAACCAGCTGCGAAGCGACAAGAAGGAGGGAGTTGGGGGCAGACGACCACGGCTCTATGCCACGCGAGAACTCAGAGAGAGTATATGAAAGCGCGAGGCCCGGCAATGTCGACGACATTCCATGTCGATCAGTCCCAGAAGATCAGGACGGGAGAGACGAGTCCGTGTGACGCCACTGGACCCACGCCGTCTCTTCTGCCGAGAGGGGTGATGGGTGGGGTGGAGGCACCTGGTTTGGGGGGCTTCCGCGCACGGGAGATGCGATGTCCCGCCGATTGCCTGCGATCGGGCCTGGGCTGAACCTGAGTTACTCCCCTTGTTGAAATTCTGAAGGACCCCCTCAACGTCCTGACCTGCGCGACCTGACAGGACCTGCCTGGCAGTCAAAAACAGGGACCTTCACATGTGTACCTGGTGAGCACGCGGTAGTAGTAAGGCGACGTGCACGACTTCGTCTTCGCGCAGCTACGCTAGAACTGGGGCCGTGAGTTTCCAAGAAAGCTAAGGTACCCGGAAGGGAGCCAACTCACTCCGCGTGTACGTCAACCGCCGAGCCCATCGTGGCAGCTATTGTCAGCCACAAATTGCAGCTCCCAGACGGTGGCACACGTCCGTTCGGTGATCGATATTCCAGCCCAGCAACCAATGGAAGTCAAGTTACCGGCCTGTTGCTAACGAGAGCCAAAATGGCCTGTTCGAAGATGCTGCGCGCATGGTATGTAGAATACATCGGTTAGCGTCTGTGAAGATCGGCGAGGGCTACCCCGAATGCCCGGACACTGATAGGGATGGCGCATCGTGAGTTAACTGCAAACGGGAGGGCTTGCTACAGGTGCTTGAACGAGCTTCTCCCACCTCCATCTCTTCCAGTTCTGATGTTGCAGTCGTCGATCGCTACCCGTCGAAATTCCGTGGGATGGACCGGGAAAGTCCTGGGGAAGTCTTGGGAAATCGACTGGGAACGAGCTGCGTGGGTTCCGAATTGCCGGCCAGAAATCATGCGTCATGACGCACGCTTTGCAGAACGCTCAATGTACGAGGTCCGAAGATGCCTCGAACATTATGCCCCTACTCCGAGACCTCCGGTTCGACGATTCGGAGATCAAGGGAGATCAAGAGTGCTTAGATGTCGTCTAGCGGTGGCGGCGGGCAACGGATGCTACCTAATATCGCGCGTGATGGCCCAGACAGTGCATATGAATGGAAGGCCAAAGGATGGGGTGTGTATAGACCAGAGAGGCTAGTGAGAAGTGCTGCACGGCGTCCGACACCGCGGACGCATGGAGGTTGCGATCAGCGACGTCGCTTGCGGCCGGAGTTCTTGGTTCTTGCCTCGTGGCTACTCGCCGACTTGGCTGCATCAGGCATGTTTGGATTCCAGCAGCGGATGCGGCGACACTGATGCTTAAGTTTAATATTTATAGTGTCAGTAATAATGGTACCTGCCATGGTAAGACTGGGCTCTGCCACAATCTGAGCTCGTCAACGTGCTTTCCCTTTCCCCATCTCTGCATGTGCATACATGTGACATCGTAGTGGGTATGTGCAAGCATAAAATGCGCGAGCTGTATTCATAGGTCAGCTTCGTCATTGAATGAGAATTCAACCTCTTGGCTTCTTGAATACATCTCCAAGACTGTTTCTCGGTCGTACGGCTGCGGATCCTCCTCGTCCGAACCAGAGCCGAAGCCGTCCTTGTCCTCGCCCTCGCCCTCGCCCTCGTCCTTGTCCGCATCCTCAACCTCGTCCTCACCCTCGTCTTCGTCAGCATAGGCTTCGGAATCGGAGTCGGACACCCAAGATGTCCCATCATCCAGCTCCTCGTCTTCCTCCCCGTCGTCTTTCTGGTCCCCAGCCGCATCCTCATTCACCTCCTCACCGCCGATCTTAACCACGACGTCGGGAATATACTCGGATCCTCCGTCCGCATCGTATTCGGCATCGTCATCGAACGTGACGCCGAAGAACTGCACATCATCCCCGATGTCCCCGCCTAGGTCGAGTAGAACTGCCCACGACGTCTGGAGCGCCCGGACACCCCCGGGAAGGGTGCGCACGCGTACGGCATCGCCGCTCACTTCCTCGGGGTTGCAGAGAAGAGGGAGGCGCGCCTGCGCCACGACGCTCGTAGGGGCTCTCGGGGACAGCATGCGGATCGCACGGAGCGCAGGGAGGGAGCACGCGTGGCCCATCTCGCACATCAGCTCGACTACGCGGCGTTTGAGTGTGAGTCCCCAGATGTCCAGATACCGGAGGGTAGGTGAAGCGATGATGCACGGCAGGTTCAGCGTGGGGAGGTTCGGGAGGACGAGGTGCTCGAGGACCGGGCAAAGGGTAGGTAGTAAGGAGAGCGTTCTGTGCGCGTGATTGTCTATCCAGGAGGTTTTGGGGATCACATGAAGGTACTTCAGGTGTTTCCCGAAGAGCTCCAACGCGTCCTCCGGGATTTCGTCAGAGGCTAGCACGGTCAGCCAGCGCAGATTGGGAAGGTCCCAGAGGCGGCTGATGTAGTTTTGCACGTACAGAAGGTCGCGAGGGATCTGCAGGCGTTCAAGGTAGGGGAGCACCACGGGAGGCTGCCGAGACAGGGCTGGTATACGGAAGAAGTCCAAAGTCTCGAAAGGCCCCAATATCAAAGTAGTCAGGCGGGTCTCCATGACAAGCAAGTGGTGGATATATATGAGGTGTTCTTCGTCTCTGATCTGTGCGAACACTAGATGCTGCAGGCCTGAAGCGCAACGGTCGGCCAGAGCGCCGCCAGGAGTGTTCTCGTCGGGAGATCGGAACCATACGGGATTGTGCCACTTCTCGATGTCGGGGATTGGGTCTTCGTTCAATGTGTCGTAGTGATCAAAGTGCGGATGGGGGTGGTACTCGAAGCTCTGTAGCCTCGAACAGTATTGCAGAATGAGCGTGAGATCCGCCCTAGCAACTTGGGCGCACTGGTGAACCACAATACACCCAACTATGCGGATGCGCTTGACAAAGCCGCTTGGGTCTGGAGCGTATACGACACGAGCAGAGCGAAGTGTGCGCGCGAGCGCGCTGATCTGTCCCATACGCCGGAGTGCGATATCGGCATAAAGGGCCTCGGAAGCGGCACCATACCAGGTTTTGCAGACAAGAGTGAGCGCCCTCCGCGTTTTGACTGAGAGAGTCCAGGGACTTCGGAGAGCAGCTTGTACAAAGGCATCATGCTCGTCGTCCGAAGGAATGGTCGCCAGGAATATACGAAGCAATATCTCTTGCGGCAGAACGCACACGTGTTCGTTGCGATAACGAGGGTGCGGTGTCTGGCAGAGGATCGAAACGCTTAGCGTCGCCTTTGTACATCTGGGTTACCTGCGGTATGACTTACCTGATCTGCGTCGCTCACCGTAGATGTTGATGGCTCCACGGGGGTGTACTCCGTTTGCTGCCCAAGAAGGGCTGCGCGCTCGTTTTGCAAGGAAGCCACCAGATATTTGAGAGCGGCGTTCGCATCCTTGAGGGCAGCGTTGCCGTCTTTGAGAGCGGTGTTCTACTCGATGAGAGAGGCGTTGTCGCGTGCCAAACGAGCGACTTCATCGCTCCGATCTCCTTCTCCGGAGGACATACTTACACGGCGTTCGAATGGGTATGTCAGGCTCAGTAGCCAGAGTGCGTGGTCAACGTCGAAGACAGCTTTGCGCTGGCAGCATCATGGTGGACGTCATGTCCACGCGATCCCCTCGCGTTGCGCTGCTAGCACGTGGAATGTGACCTTCGCGTCAAGAAATAACGGCTTGAAAGCCGATCGTCTCTTCAGCTTTCACTTCGTAAAACATTCATCAGATTGGAGGTACATATCCAGATTCCATTATACGTACTGGAACCTCTTGGCTCTTCGCACTCATCACCAAGACTGTTTCTCGGTCGTACGGCTGCAGATCCTCCTCGTCCGAACCATCGGAGTCGAAGCCGTTGTCGTCTTCACAATCTGCTCGCTATCATCTACACCCTCGGTACTAAGCCTTGGTAGTCATCGTATGCGCATCAGCGGCCACAAGGGATCAGGGTGGCAGGTTCTGCTGATTCCGGATGCGCTCACTCCGCCGAAGAGCTATTTTCCCCTCCGCCCGACGTGCTTTCTTTGGGTTTGGCACCACGGCATCCACGTAATCTGAGGGGGACATATTGTGCTTGCGTGATTCAGGCTGTGAACTGGGCGCAGGAGTGGTGGGACTCGGGGGAGAATCGTACGGGCCAGAGCTGGGGAGTGTGTGCACGACACGATCGTCGCCCTCCAACATCCGGTTCTCCAGAAACTCCGACCAGAACGCGTCGAGGTGAGCGGCATCCCACGCGTCCTTGTACTTCTCTCTGAGGCTCGCTGGAGGGAAATGGAAATCCATGACCGTCGTGACCCACTCCTGAAGAGCAGCGCTGCGGAAATGGACGTCCCGCATGAACATACGCGATTGAGCGTTCGCGAGCTTCCCGGCGCCGCCCCAAATGAAATCGCCTAGATGGTAGTTTAGGCGGAAGAAGTCGCGGATAATGCCATGAAGGTCTTCCGGGAACACGTCGTGGGCAACGTAGCGCAAGCCGCAGTAGAAAACGACGTATAGCACAGACTCCATGTCGTCCTTGAACGTGTGCTTGCCATGCATTTGGCGGTGGTCCAACATTCGAATGGACATGAAGTCCCATGTCCCCTACAATTTGTATCGATTGGAATTAGTGCATGCATGATTGAAGGAGACAGGATGGCTTACCGTACGTCCGGCATGTTTCGCTTCGCCGGCTTCGTCGACTTGATCGGAAGCCTCCCAGTCAATGAGGTATCCCCTGCGGACGGCTGACCCAGGCTCTTTCACCAAGATGATATTGCCCACACTGAGGTCCCTGTGTATTCGGGAGTCCTTAGCCAGTGCATCTTTCATAGCTAGAATGAGTCCCCTCGTCATTGTCCAATTGACACACCAATCCGCTGAGATACGCACCTGTGAACGCATCGTACCCCGCATGCAGCAGCTCTCGTGTTCCCCGGATGGTGCTAAGCCCGTAACCAGCTATATCCGTGACCAGGCGGTAATGTCGTCGACTGTGGATGTGACTATATTTACCATCGATCCGGCATCTCCAAGCTTGCTTCGTGAGGAGACTAGTCTGAGTAAAATGGAATCTAACACCTGTATGAAACCCGTTCAGTAAGTTCGCGCGGGAACAGGGCACGCACGGACCTAATCTGTGATATATTTCGGCCGGGTCGGGCGCGTCACCATGCATCACCAGCGAGGGCACGTTACGCACGCCAAGGGCGTTGAGACGTTCCAAGATGTCCCCCTCCACCTCGCTCGTCGACTCCGAGCGCCATGTGTCCTTGAGGAACACAACCCGTCCCGTCTCACAGCACAAAGCCCAATACCCGCGGGTGCCGCGGCCCTCAAGGTAGAGCGGTGAGACGACAGGCCGCGACACGATGTAACGACGGCCCTCGACAACCGTCATAGTGCCAGCGGGAGGTCGGGAGTACACACGGACGGCAGTCGCATGCCCTGGTTGGTAATGCGCCCTGACAGCTCTATCCAGCTCCTCGCCTTCGATCTCCAGTTGCAAGCAGGCATGGGCCCTAACGGCATCCTGGAACCGCATCTCCTCCTGAGGCGTGGCGGGAGCAACAGTCAAGTCGTAACCGCGTTCCGTGTGCGAGAATTGGGAGAATCTCCAGATAAACTCTAGGAGCAATTCTGGATGTTCCCGAATGTCGAACGCCTCTGTCACGACGCAACCAGCGCGATCCCACCGGAAGATCCTTGCGAACGAACCAGCCATACCGATGGAGAAGACGACGAGTCGATGTTGGCGAGCGAAGACTTCCATCGCGAAGGCGATGTGCAGGCCGAAGTCCTCCTCGACCTCGTAGGACAGGTCAACATCGTCGACGTCGAACTGACGAACGAACTCGTGCGCCTTGCGAGCCTGTCGATCGGCGTCAGCCGGTGGGTCTATGAAGAAGTCGCAGGACGGGTCGGGGTTGATATTAATGAAGAGTTCGGCGTATCCGAGCTCGGTGCGTGTACGCTTGTCTGTGTGTTGCACGTGTTTCGCATTCTCCAGGGTGAAACAGCAGATGTGCGGTTTGGTAAACTCTGGCCGTGCGCGTGAAGGATGAGAGCTACGCTCAATGGTCTTCTCAAAGACGAACCCCGGACAACGAGCTTTGCGCTTGGATGTCTTATTCAACGCTGCTGCCTACCAGACCTTGAGCACGAGACGCATGCGCCACCGCCAAGTAGACGTACCAATGGTTCGTATATTTGTGCCGCGCTCTCCGCTGTCTTCGGAATTGCCCTGAATGCGTGCCTGAATGTCATTAGACCAGACCTGTCATAACTCTCGACCGGGACCAGTGGGAAGAATGAATCTACAAAAGTTGTTGCAGGTATGGGGCCCAAAGTGTACTCCCGTGCCTGCTGGACGCGTTTCAAGTTTCGTGAGGTTGCCAAAAGCGGCTCAAGTCCAGCTGTGTGAGACAGAGTGGGATCCAGAGCCATAGGGATGTTGTAAACACAAGACATAGGGAAAGGCAACCAAGAGTCGCGATGCGAGCTAAGGGAGCCTGAGGGATGTGGCGATATTGATGTTGGTGGCGAGAGAATGGCTGAGCGGTGTCGTTATATAGCCCAGCGATTTATTTCTAGCGTGGGGGCAATTATATAGCATCGGACTAGGACGTATAGGGCCAAGTGGAGATGTTGTTCAAGCATTACAATAGTTGTGGCGGGAATGAAGGGACTTGGACGCTCGAGCCTCGGAGTACAAAAGGTAGGCGCTCGACCAAGTTCAGGACGATCCGGCTCTTGTCAGCGCCATTCTGTAAGCTGATCATGATAGTATCGCGCACGTAAGTACTTGGGTACGATAAACTTCCCGATGTTGTCATTCTCGTCTGTGTCATTGAAGTTGTAACGCTGCCTCAGTCAACGCGAGGGCCCCCGAACAGTCACCAGTTCTGTGCGTACGGAAAAATCTGGTCAACTCGCTGAACAGGACATGGCAGACAAACCACCCGATTCCTCATCCGACAACGCTGACCCGCCACCGCCGCGTAGAGCCCCAGTGCACCTAAATAATTCCGGACTGCGCATTGAACATACCCAAGGGAAAGGGCGCGGCGTATACGGTAAATTGTACTGACTTTCTCGTACATTCTTTTACTGAACATCATGCGGCGTCAAGCATGCCGCGAGATTCCCGCACAGACCCTCATCGAGGTGAGCCCCGTCCTCCTGTTCAGTGCAAGAGAGTACGAGGAGCACGGGAGACACACCGTGCTGGACCATTACACGTTCAAATGGCGGGACGGCAGAATGGCGCTGGCGCTCGGGTTAGGTGCGGAGTACTTTTTCAGGCAGCGCTCCTGAACCGTATTTTGTGTGGCTTCTGACCTGCTTCGCTCACACATTTGATAGGTTCAATCTTGGGTCACCCTTCTTGACGCTCGACCACCACCTGCTGCTTTTTTCCCACGATACATCCTCATAGGGGGAGGATCGTTTCGTGCGGTTCTTTAGCACACTGGGGCTCGTCTTTAGTACTTCTACGGATACGGTCAGATCTCAGCCAGCATGATGGGTAGTCGAGCTCGACCGCCGCCATCGAGGCCGGCCAGCACACCGCCGACGCCGCCTACGAGAATAGGCGCCCACGACAGCGCACCAGCCAAACCGACCAGAAAAACAGCAAAAAAGACGATACTCACCTCACAAGAAGCTTGGATGGAAGCCGAGAAGCTCGTACCGGACCTGGGAGCCGCGATGGAGTTCTTACTTGGCCATGAACTGATCCCGGGAGGCGACAATGCCTTTACAAGCGAATCGCTGATCTCGGGCATGCTGCATCTCGCCTTCTCGACGACTGGAGATCTCGCCAAGCGTGGCATCCTCGCCTTCGCACACCTCGCTAAGGGGGTCCTCGCCCACGATGCCCAGTCCGCGGTCAGCGACGCAGTCGTCGAGCGCGCGGAGGGGCAGCTGCGCCTCCGGCTTGACCACCACACGTCCCACGTTGAAGATCGGCTCGACGAGTTCTCGGAGATGATCGGAAGGATGAAGACAGAGATGGAAGAGGGGTCGGCCGGCCTTCGTGCGGCTTGCGAACGGGTGAAGGAGGCTGAGAGTGCGCTTTTGGCGGCTCGCGAGGGGATACAGGAGACTGCGCAGCTGGTTGCGCGCCCTGGTGAGCCCGTACCCACCGCGTCCACGCTAACTATCGAGACAGCGCCGGTGCGGGTGCGCCGCGCGGCCACACTCGCCGACCTGCTGCAGCGCCAGGTTCTTGTCCGGGGGGCGACGCTCAGCTCGGAGAGCGGGGAGCCCCTCGGGGAGGGCATGCTGAAGGACCGCGCCCGAGAGGTGCTGGACGAGATGGACAGGGCGGGGCTCACGGCGCCCGAGGGGGGCATGGTGGAAGCAGCCAAAATTCTGCCCCACGGGGACACGGTGTTCACGATGTCAAGTATCGAAGCAGCCCGATGGCTCCTCAAGCCCACGGTAGCCAAGCCGTTCGCACGCAAGATGGGGATGGCGGCGCAAGTGGTCGAACGCACGTACAGACTGGTCGCCGAGCGCGTCCCAGTCTCGTTTGACCCGCGCGATCTGTCGTCCCTGCGAGCGGTCGAGGCCGCCCACAAGCTCAAGTCGGGGGCGCTGGGCCGCGCGGAGTGGATCAAGCCGATGGAGCGTCGCTTCCCTGGACAGAGGACGGCACATCTGATGCTCACGGTAACGGGTATCGAACAAGCCAACACTGCGCTGAAAGGGCTCTCTATCGCAGGACGCAAGATTCTAGTGCGCAGGGACATGGATGAGCCGAAAAGATGCGCCCGGTGTCAAGCGTACGGGGGGCATTTCGCCCGGGACTGCAAGGCACAGCACGACGTCTGCGCCAATTGCGCGGCCGGCCACCCGACGTCTCAATGCCAGGTGGCGGCGGACCCATCCAGGTACCGCTGCGCAAACTGCAACGAGGATGGCCACGCTGCGTGGGACCGCGCGTGTCCCGCGCTGCGTACGAGGGTGAGCGCACAGGTGCACAGGAAGGCCGACAGCGGCTTCCGCTTCTTCGTGACAAACGCGCCGGACACTTGGGTCTCGGACGAAGAAGAGCTGGCCAGAGCGCCTCCGCCGCCCACCGTCTGGTCGCAGGTGCGGCACCGGTTCGAAGAGGCCGACGGCGACCACCGCCCCTCGCAAGCCAGGCTCGACAGCTTTCTCGGAGCACCTAGGCAGCCGGCCGACTCTGACCCTCGCCAATGATACCCACGACCCACACCACTTTACGCATCTGGCAGCAAAATCTAAATAAATCTGGGAGTGCCCAGCTCGACCTCGTTAACGACCGATTCGTCGCTGATTTTGATATTCTAGCTCTTCAGGAACCCTACCTTACCTTTCTAAATCTCACCTCCAGCACCTCCCACTGGCACGTCATCTACCCGACCACGCACCGCAAGGAGGGGGCGGGACGATCTCGGGCGGTCACCCTCGTTAACAAGAAGTTGTCGATAGACTCGTGGAGCGCCATCGCCGTTCAGCACCCCGACATCACGGCCATATCCATCTGTGCCAAGGACACCACCGTCCACATCTTCAACCTCTATGTGGACGGCGAGCACGATACCGCCCTGCACGCGGCCTCCCGGGCGGTGCTCAACACCATTCCGGGGGGTGCGGAGGAGCCACAGCACTTGGTTTGGCTAGGGGACTTCAATCGGCACCACCCCGCCTGGGACGACCCCACCAATCACCACCTTTTCACGTCGGAGAACTTACACCGGGCGGAGCGCCTCATCACCATCCTCGACCGCCACGACCTGACGATGGCGCTGCCGCCGGGTATCCCGACTCTCGAAGCCTCGCGTACCAAGAACTATACACGCCCGGACAATGTCTTTTGCACGCCCGCAATCCTGGAGCGGCTGCAGACTTGCACGGTATTGCACGATAAACGCCCGACCAAAGCTGATCACTTCCCCATCCAGACAGTCTTCGACTTGCCGACGGCGGCTGCGGTAAGGCGCCCGCGCAAGGACTTCCGCCGTGTAGACTGGGCGGAGTTTGGGCAGGCGCTCGCGGAAAGGGTGGAGGCAAGGCACCACCCCACCAACATCAACACAAAGGCCCGCTTCGACCGAGTGCTGAACAGCCTCATGGACGATCTGCAGGCGACGATTGCGGAGCATGTACCGGAGACGGCGGACACTCCGTATGCGAAGAGGTGGTGGTCGGCGGACCTGGCCAAGATGCGTACCGAGAAAGAGCGCCTAGGGCGCATCGCCTTCCGACACCGGGCAACGCCCGCCCACCCGTCTCACGCTGAGTACCGGCGCTTTCGTAACGTCTACGCTGACAATATTACAGCGGCCAAGAATGATTTCTGGAAAGCATGGATTGACTCCATCGACGGCAAGACAATTTGGGACGCCAACCGCTTCCTCAAGCGGGGAGCAACTGACGGTGGCCGGGCGCGCATCCCGCCCATTCGCGTCCCTGGAGAAGACGGCCGGGAGCGGGTGCTGAGCACGAATGAGGATAAAGGCGCTGAGTTCCACCGTACCTTCTTCCTGCCACCCAGTGCCGCTGTCATACCCACAGGACCCTACCCGCAACCGCTCTACGAGTTCAAGCCTATCACTGACACGCAGGTCCGGCGAGCTATCAAAGCACTCCGGGCGTTCAAGGCGCCGGGACCCGACGCCGTCCCAAACGAGGTGTACAAGCACTGCGCAGATACGCTGGTGCCGGTGCTGGGCTCGCTCTTCAGAGCGACGTTCACTCTGCAATACTACCCGGAGCGGTGGAAGGTATCGGACACAGTCGTGTTGCAGAAGCCGGGCAAGGAGGACTACACCGTCGCCAAGGCCTGGCGGCCCATCGCGCTCCTTGATTGCATGTCCAAGATTCTGTCCCGATGTGTTGCTGACGTCCTGGTGTACGAGGCAGAACAGAAGGCAATGCTCGCCGACCTACAATTCGGGGGACGGGCAGGGCGGACTACAACGGATTCCATTCACCTCGTCACCAAGATTGTCAAGGACGCCTGGCGGCGGAGTCACGTCGCCTCTGTGGTGTTCCTCGACATCAAGTCGGCGTTCCCAGCTGCGTCCCCGGAGCGTCTTTACCACAACCTGCGCATGCGGGGAGTGCCGGCCCAATACGTCGACTGGTTGCGGGTCAAGTTGTCTGGGCGGAAGACTCGGCTGCATTTTGATGACTTCTCGTCCGACCTCTTTGATATCGCAAGCGGTATCGACCAGGGCTGCCCACTTTCGGTCATCCTCTACGCTTTTTACAATTCTGATCTTATCGACAGTGCAGACACGAAGAAAGGCGAGCATGCCGTGGGCTCGATGGACGATGTAGCATTGGTGGTCACCGGCAAGACCTTTGTGGACTGCCATGACAAGGTTCGGCGGTTCATGGAGCGCGACGGTGGAGCAAACGACTGGTCTCGAGCGCACAACTCCGCGTTCTCCCTCGACAAGTTTGGCCTTATCAACTGCAAGGCTCAACCGAAACGGATTGGTCTCGGCCCGCAGCTCAAGTTGTCGGATGGCACGGTCATCCAGCCTACTGACCACCATCGCTTTCTGGGGGTCCTTGTCGACCAGGCTCTCAAGTTTAAGCAGCACGTGGCCTCGGCGTATGCGAGAGGCAGCCGACTTGTGTCCCAAATTCGGCGTCTGGCGAAGGCCAGGAATGGGCTTACGCTCCCCGTCGTGCGCCGTCTCTATCTCGCTGTCGTTGTCCCCAGTATGCTGTATGCGGCTGACACGTTCCTCACCCCGATACGAAAACTCGCCGGCCACTCCCGCAAGCATGGGTCGTCCGGCAACATCCGACGGCTGGCTCAAATTCAGCGGCAGGCACTTCTCGCAATGACGGGTGCCCTACGTACGGCGCCGACCGATGCACTGGAGGCGCATGCACGCCTCCTGCCATTTGACCTGCTCGTGGACAAGATCTGCCACAGGGCGGCAGTCCGGCTCTGCACGCTCCCGAAGACGCACCCGCTGGCGCCTCACGTCCGCCGAGCGGGCCGCAAGCTGGTCAAAGCGCATCGGTCCTCACTCCACGAGCTCCTGGACGCTTACCGCCGGTGGCTCGCCTACCGGGATACAGAACGAATCCGACCCGTGCGCCTGCACCCACGCTGGACGCCACGCCATCGCACGCACGTCCTATCGGACCGGGAGGCGGCGGTGGAGGATGACGCGCGCTGGGCACTCGACGGCGCCTTCCGAGTCTATACGGATGGCTCCGACGTTGACGGGGGAGTTGGGGCGGCGGCGCTCCTCTACGCGCCAGGTCAAGACGAGCCGGAGGTCCTCCAGCTCTACCTGGGGCCGTCCACGAGGCACACCGTTTACGAAGCTGAGATCGTCGCCACGATCCTTGGCGTGGAGCTCCTGCGGCGCGCTAGCCAGTGCACGCAGCGCGCGTCCATAGGACTGGACAACACGGCGGCGATACAAGCCTCTACGCTGCGTACCCCCGGGGCTGGACGCTACCTCACTGACATCTTTCACTCTGCAGTACGGGACCTCAAAGCGACACGCCCCCACCTTCGCCTCACGTTGCGCTGGGTCCCAGGCCACTCGGATGTCCCAGGCAATGAGGCAGCGGATGAGGCGGCAAAGGAGGCGGCGCACGAAGTCTCGTCCGCCAAGCGCCTGCTTCCAAAGTCGCTGCGCAAGCCTCTCCCGCTCAGCGCGTCTCGAGCGCGGCAGAACTTCCAGCTCGAGCTCGAACGACGTGCAGGCGTCCGATGGCGGACATCACGGCGGGGCACACGCATGGCGGAGGTGGATGGCGCCATGCCCTCCAAGAAATACGGGGCGCTCATCGCCGACCTCCCGCGACGGCATGCCAACCTGCTTATTCAGTTCCGCACTAACCACGTCCCACTACAGGCCTACATGGAGCGCATAGGGAAAGCGTCCAGCGCAACCTGCCCGACATGCGGCGAAGCCCCCGAGACCGTGCAGCACTACCTTCTCGCCTGCCCGACGTATTCACTGCACCGTGCCGTTCATTTCGCACCGCTCGGTTTCTCTGGCCGCACGATGTCCGCCCTCCTCAACGCGAAGACGTCTCTCCGACTGCTGTTCAACTACGTCAACGCCACGGGACGGCTGCGCTCAGCGGTGGGCGCCCTCATCGGCCCGCACTCCGGCTACCCCGACAGCGACGACGACGGCGACAACACGTAACGACCCGGCCGCCACCCCCGACCCCTCCTCGCACCGATCTCTCTCTCCTTCCCCTCCCCTCTATCTTCGTTTTCGCTACCAGTCGCTTATATCTGTATGTATACGGGCATGCTGGAAGCATAACCTCCGCGCTGGGGCCGGGGGAGTTCTGACGGTGCCGGGTGTCTGCCCGGTTATCGTACCCCTCCCGTGGCAAGAGGCTTAATAGCCCGGCAGCGCAAGCGCTGTTGCATAGCACGGGCAGGTTTAGATCCCGGTTCCCTGCCGTGTATTGGCCGGCGCGGTGCGACCAGCATGTGGCCCCCCTACCTCTTCCCCTTCCTGTCTGCTTTACTTCACATCCATTGGCTCTCTTTCTCCTGACCCTACACTACCATACTATTGATGAACTCTGAACCTGGAAGGCTGTAAGCCGCACAAAGAGAGGTCTTCAGTCTGTGAGAGAACGACTATGATTGCATAGTACTGTACCTGTAAGCCGCACAAAGAGAGGCTACAAGTACTAGTAAGTAAACATGTAAGGAAGCATAGGTAGTGTGGGACTTACTCTTCAGTCTGTGAGAGAACGACTGAAGAGCAGAGGCCTGCAGAGTCCTCCTTATATACTACTGGGGAGGACGATGAGTAAGCGTATAAGAAGAGAGCATGTGACGTCCAGAGGACGCTGACTGAGCGATGAGTAACGCTGAGTAAGGGAGCATAATCGACATAAGGTCAGATAGTCCATGGCTGAGTAATGCGAGTAATCCGGACGCTGTCTAGAATAGTCCGGAACATCGTAGAACGTACCAGAATCATGTGGAGGGATGGCAGGATGCCAAGTAAGTACAGAACAAAAGAATGTACGTATATGGTAAGTAGGAAAGTCCATGCTGGCGTATGGTAGACGCACAGCCACTATCACTGCCACTCCCGGTCCGGCACAGCCGTAGACACAGAAGTTCAACACCGGAGGGCCTTGGGGGGTGCCGCGTCAGGTTTCGACGCGCCTCTGATGCGCGGGACCATTGCGCGCTCCTTATCGGGGTTTGGGTCCGGCAATGCGTCGATGAAGTCGTAGAGTTCCTGTACCTATTCCGTCGTCGAACGGTGAGTATCTGGATGACCACGACGGACGTCGACAAGTGTATACTCACTTCTGCGCTTCGATATCCAGGGGCCCGGCTGACGTATCGCGTCACTTTGCCATCCACAACAG